TCTTGCAAATTTAACAGTGGTTTGCGCTAATGGTTCACAGTTTCTAATTTATCGACAATTTTGACGTTCTTCGCCTTTTTTGCTTTCGCGCTTCCTGATGTTCTTCTGTTATTGCATAGCACCAAAATTGCCATTTGTGGCTCCTAGCAACGGAAGATTCGCTTGGTAGTCGCATCTCGAAGTATTTTTTGCAATGTCCAGGAAATCCTTTGCTTTAGGTGTCCTTTTTTAAAGGAAGAACTTAGGAAGTTCTAGAGCTCTTGTAATGTCATTTATGTTGCATGGGGGCTGTAGTAATTACTAGTTCTCCAAAGCACATGTAAAAATTTATTTAATGACCTAAAAACTGCAAAAATACACGGTATTTGCTTTACACGGCAAAATAGACTTTTAGCGGGTGTCAGGTATATGTCGTAATACCCTGTCAGTGCTTCATACATTATTTTCGTAACTCTTGGGCCGAGTTTGAAAATTAAAAAAAGCTAAGATGATGGAAAGCGCATGAATTTTCACTTTGGTTCAGGTATTCAGGTGGAAATGGCTTGAGAATTTTCGATCCACGTACTTTCGCAGCCAAATGCGGACAGAGCACGTGCGATGCGGTCACGTTGCGGTTGACCAGACTTCTTAGTCCCTTGAATTTAGGCTTATAATTCGGCGATACACGTAGCGGTGCCAAGGCGTTTAAAGTTCGGCGCTCAATATGAACTCGACAACCTAAGTTTTCCGAACCCTGACGGCGTACGTACTTTGATGCTACACGTAGCGCTCCAGCTCCTTAAAGGGCTGGGGAAAGATGGCCCCTGGAGCCGTCGGGGTGACGGACCGCCGCGGCGCTACCATGGACGCCTTCCATGGCGTAAGCGCCCCAGGCCCTCTCCCCCGGCGGCGGCTCATTACAAGGGGGCAATTAGTAAAGTTCGAGGTGGGGAGGTGGGGAGCAGGCTGGGACCCCATTGGTCGAAACCGGGTGGGCGCTGGTCCCAAAAAGGGGTCCGGGCGCTGGTCTAAGGGCTAGTATTAGCAAAAATTTTTTCGGCGCTTATGCGCCGTTTATTATCTAAAAGCTTTTTTGCAGAAGTCCGCAGTTTCGTCTCAGATGTCCTACGCAGGTTAAAAATTTTTTGACGCCGGCGGACTCGGAGCGAACCGATAAAAATAAATCATCAAAGAAAAATTGCAGGCGACAATTAACGCGAAGGAAACTGAAAGAAGCCGAAGAAGAAGCTGATGAAGTCTCTAAAATGCATTCCTTTCTTATCCTCTCAAGATCATCCGTATGCTCTTACCTATCTCTGACCTTTAAAGCTTCCTTGATGTGTATAGTACTGTAAAGTTGTAAAAACCCCGAATTTGTTATCCAAAGCGACCTCAAAGAGAACTGAAAACATTGCCGGAGATCATTTTGAAACCAGAATTGAGCCTTTAACGAAAAACTTATTTTTTTTATCATATCACCCAAAAAATTGTTCCATCAAAAATTCAAATTTTGATTCCAATGACCGATTTACTTCAAACTTGGCCTAATGGTAGATCTGGGTCTACTAATCACTAGGAAAAAATATCAGATTTTTTGTACCCGGTTAAGACCGGTTTTCGGGACCAGCGCCAAATCGACCAATCAGCCGACCAATCAAGGTTTTTCCCGTTTTTGGTCCCCTGAAATATCAGCTAGATTGGTTTTAATTGGAATGGAGGTAGCCTAAGGGATGGGTTACCGTACGCCAAAAAGAATATTTAGATTGCTTGCGTCTGCTTCGAGCCTGGGACCAGCGACTGTCACTTTTTTTGGATTTTGAAAATCGGCCAAATTCGGAGTTTTCCTCTTAACAGGGGGGAGTAATTTTTTAAAAATTTTTCCTTGAGGCCGATGATAGAGTACGATGTGCTCTTTCGAATGATGTATCGTACGTCCGGATCCGGCTCCTCTACGCGGAGCATGGGACCAGCGACTCCATTGGTCGAGCCGATTTTGCTCCTTTTATATGGGATTTGGGGCCATTAGTAGGCTATCTCTGCCGAATCGGAAGCGATTGACTGAAATGTTGACTGATGGTGAGGAACGTCATCCGCAAGCTGGAATAAATCTGGCGACTCGATTCGGTGCATTTGAAGACGACTTTGGGACCAGCGACCGATGTTGCATGGACAATGCTCCGCGTAGAGGAGCCGGATCCGGACGTACGATACATCATTCGAAAGAGCACATCGTACTCTATCATCGGCCTCAAGGAAAAATTTTTAAAAAATTACTCCCCCCTGTTAAGAGGAAAACTCCGAATTTGGCCGATTTTCAAAATCCAAAAAAAGTGACAGTCGCTGGTCCCAGGCTCGAAGCAGACGCAAGCAATCTAAATATTCTTTTTGGCGTACGGTAACCCATCCCTTAGGCTACCTCCATTCCAATTAAAACCAATCTAGCTGATATTTCAGGGGACCAAAAACGGGAAAAACCTTGATTGGTCGGCTGATTGGTCGATTTGGCGCTGGTCCCGAAAACCGGTCTTAACCGGGTACAAAAAATCTGATATTTTTTCCTAGTGATTAGTAGACCCAGATCTACCATTAGGCCAAGTTTGAAGTAAATCGGTCATTGGAATCAAAATTTGAATTTTTGATGGAACAATTTTTTGGGTGACATGATAAAAAAATAAGTTTTTCGTTAAAGGCTCAATTCTGGTTTCAAAATGATCTCCGGCAATGTTTTCAGTTCTCTTTGAGGTCTCTTGGGATAACAAATTCGGGGTTTTTACAACTTTACAGTACTATACACATCAAGGAAGCTTTAAAGGTCAGAGATAGGTAAGAGCATACGGATGATCTTGAGAGGATAAGAAAGGAATGCATTTTAGAGACTTCATCAGCTTCTTCTTCGGCTTCTTTCAGTTTCCTTCGCGTTAATTGTCGCCTGCAATTTTTCTTGATGATTTATTTTTATCGGTTCGCTCCGAGTCAGCTGGCGTCAAAAAATTTTTAACCTACGTAGGACATCTGAGACGGAAATCACAGCATACACAGATACCATCGATAATTTTCGACAACAGAAATCCTGCAAAATTATCCCAAAACCCAATTTTCTTGCAAAAAAATCGCGCCGCTCCGCGGCGCTGGTCTAAACCCAGTCTTATCCCTCCGGGCGCTGGTCCCAATGGTCGCTATCCCCTATCTTTCCCAGACTGGTGGGGAGGTGGGGAGGTCTCAGGGAGGTCTCGGGGAGGTGGTTTTGAAAATAACCGTTTTTTGGCGCGTTTCGTACCAATTAATGTTCGTAATCGATTTATAAATGTTTATTGGTGTTTTCTGAACATTATTAGAGGGTTTTGGTCAAATATTTTTTATTATTAGGTTAGATTAAGACAAAAAGGGAAATCCTTGTAAAGAGCTGGGAAATTGAAGAAAATACATCGATTAGGCGCTGTTTCTTTACAATATATTATAAAATTATAATGATGTGTTGCATGACAGGTTTTCTAATGCCTAAGGAATAGCTTCTGGCCTTTATAAGTTACTTAGTAAGAAAATAACTAATAATCTTCTATTTTGCGTGTTTTCACTCGTTTATCCTCGTCTTCATAATAATTCCTTCTTCCGGTTCCTTTTTCATCCTTCTTCTCTCTGATAACTACATTAACTATATTAACTTTACTTACCTGCTGCTAAATTAAAAGATCCGCAGGCTTTTAATTATTTATTTTTACTAGTTTACAGGCTTTACTATGTGTTAGTTGTGTTACTGGACTGGACGTTTTTAAACTAAGCCTCTTGCAACGATCAGTTAACCTAGGCTTAGCTTCACATAAACGAATTGTAAGGCTAGTTGCGCCAAGCTAAGTCTTTTTAACCATTCTTTTTTCTATAAGTCAAAAACAAGTTTGGATAAGCAAAAAAACTATAAAAAAAGTGAGACGAACCAAGGCAACGCATTCTTAATCGTTGCTTTGATAAAATCAGTTAAGTTTAGTAGTATAAGTCTAAATCAGTCCTAAAACTAAAGAATCTTGAAATAATGCGCAACTAATCTATAGTATCAAACACACGTTGACAATTTTAGATGGATCAAAGGATTTTAGTTTTTTGGTTATATCTAAACCTAGAGGGCCTGTAAACCATTGCAAATAAAGAATTCAGAAGAACGAGAGTAAAAGAAGGAAGAATCGAGAAAGCCTGTGGAGCTTTAAATTTAATTAAAGGTAGATAAAGTGGTATTAATAGTAAGTAAAGCTAATGAATGTAAGAAAACAGATCGACGAAGCGCAAGAAGGCAGAGCGAATCATTAGGAAGATAGAAATAAACTATTGAAAACAAATAAAAGATATAATTAATAGTTATTTTCTTACTAGCTAACCTATAGGAAGAAGTTATATAGCTATAGAAGTTATGTGCAAGCGCTGTATAGTAGCAAAAACCTTGCAAAAGTAATAATAATTTGAATTTTATAATATGTTGTAAGGAAACAGCGTGAAATCGATGTATTTTCTTCAATTTCCCAGCTCTTTACAAGGATTTCCCTTTTTGCCTTAATCTAACCTAATAATAAAAAAATATTTGACCAAAACCCTCTAATAATGTTCAGAAAACACCAATAAACATTTATAAATCGATTACGAACATTAATTGGTACGAAACGCGCCAAAAAACGGTTATTTTCAAAACCACCTCCCCGAGACCTCCCTGAGACCTCCCCGCCTCCCCACCTCCCCACCTCCCACCTCCCCACCTCCCCACCTCGAACTTTACTAATTGCCTTACAAGGGCGCCGAAAATTTCTACAAAACAATGAAATATTGAATCTTTTTCCGTGATTTTGTTGAATAAAGCGTTTATTTATCATTGCTTGTTTTTGCAGAATAATTCATGAGCAGGATAGGCGATTGCTAGCGGTTTAGAAGTTGCGTGTGTTTTGCGAGGGTGGTCTTGAGTTTTTCGCGGGTCTTGCTTTGCAATCTTGTTGCCGTAAAAGTTTATAAAAAAGTTTGAACATAAGAAAATTCTTGGACTATTGAGTTTCGCTCTCTTGTTCATCAATTTCCAGTTGAGCAGCGTCGTCGTCCAGCAACAAGTCATCGATGCCGTTTGAAACTCGAAAATCGCCGGCATCATCGGTCAGGAAATCGATGCGCGGAGTGCGAATTTCCTCTTTAGAATCAAGGTACGCGTAGCGAATTTCTCTGGCTTGGTAGAGCGTATCAATGCGCCATTGGTTTTCGCGAGTCCGGTCGGTTTTCCAGTTTTTTTCCACATAGGCTTATCGTGGTATTTCCGTTGTTGACGACTTTTACCGGAAATCCAACGAACGCCTTCGATTTCTAGGAACTTTCGCGTATTCCACTCCAATATCGCGAGTTTTAGCCGCGCTTGGTGCTGTTCGGGGCCGAGCCAAATCCTTTTAGGACAGTGCTTCAATAGGGCGCTGTTGAAGCTCTCAATGGCTGCCGTGCTTCCCAAATAATCGGCTTGCTGATATGCGGCTATGAGCTCACGAGTGAAGAGGCTTTCGAGGAAGTGAAACGCTGCCGAATTCGGGTCTAATGGCGGGCGATGATCGATGTCGGGACCGTGCTGGCAAGATTTGAACTTCTTGAAATTTGGATTTCCAGAGAAGTCATGGATTCCGCATACGTGTTGAAGGATCGACATCAACTTTTCTTCAATCAGTTCGGAATCGCCGTCGGAGCCGAAGATTATCCCCCAAGTGAAAGATACAACTGAGTGCCGCCAGAGTTCCAGGTACCCGTTCCGCTTCAATTTGGCGCCCACTCGCAGCTTCTTGTTGAATTCCTTGGTGATGTGCCAGCTATCCAGTAGATGGATGATAGGTTGGGGCGATCCTGGTCCGTGGTGGTCAGCCAGGTGCTTCTTTATAGGTGAAGATCTATCGGTCGTCAGCGTTTTTATGGGTATTCCGAGCATTTTTGGCGTCTTCTCAATGGCCTCCTTTGTGGCGAGCAACTCCAGAGCTCCGCTATTGCCCTTGCCATCTCTATAGCGCTCCTTTTGGACAACAGAGATGATCAATTGCGTCCTCAAGCAGAGAATTGGCAATCTGCATAGCATTGCGCAGTAACCCACGCTGTCGTAGGAGCCGTCGGTCGCGATTCTCAGACCATCCTAATACATATTTTAGTCAAAAATATTTAGGCACACCTTCGATGCCAGGACGATTAGCTCCTTACAAGGGAACCTCACGCGGACAGGGTGGAATTTCGGAAAACGCTCGCGGCTACCCCTAGGTAATCGACCATTGCGGTCACGATGCACTTGTCAGATTTTTCTGAATGTCCCTGTGGACAGAGATACAGCACTTCCGGAAAATGATGATTTGCATGCAAAAAATTAGCATTGAGTGATGGTTTATGAGGCTCCCCGATCACCATGGAATCACCAGTTGAATGGCCGAGTGGTAAGCAATTCGCTTGATAGGATACTGACGAGGGTACGGATCCGCTGACGATTTTTTATTTTGCTTTTTGGCCGAAATTTTTGCACAAGTCCAGAACAGTTGATGCATGGGTTAAAAAGTTGTCATTCGTGCTGTATAATGCGTTTAGCCAACAATTCAAACTTTCTCGAAAAATAAAGTTTGATCTTCCGAATCGTCATCCATCAATCGGCTCGGCAGAAATTTCTTCTTTGGACGTGCCAAAAGACGCACCACTGACGGAACTTTACTTTTTGCAAAAGAATTCCAGGAAATGAATGAATTATTCTGGATAAAGTAACGGGTTTGATCGGTTTTGGCGATGTTCTGGACTTGTGCAAAAATTTCGGCCAAAAAGCAAAATAAAAAATCGTGAGCGGATCCGTACCCTCGTCAGTATCCTATCAAGCGAGTTGCTTACCACTCGGCCATTCAACTGGTGATTCCATGGTGATCGGGGAGCCTCATAAACCATCCCTCTATGCTAATTTTTTGCATGTAAATCAGCATTTTCCGGAAGTGCTGTATCTCTGTCCACAGGGACATTCAGAAAAATCTGACAAGTGCATCGTGACCGCAATGGTCGATTACCTAGGGGTAGCCGCGAGCGTTTTCCGAAATTCCACCCTGTCCGCGTGAGGTTCCCTTGTTAGCTTTCTCCTGGACTTCCGATAATACGTGGTCGACCGCTTCCAACACGACCTCGTTCAAGACGCGGCTGTATGTTTTTTTAGAAGGCAAATGTAGATGTATGGCGTCTGCGGCGTCAAGAAGCCGCTATAAAATTCAGATAATAATTTTCTTAGTATTACATACTTGATAGGGCACGCCGCTCAAGTACATTGAGGCTGGCACCATCCAGTCGATATTTTGAGCTTTTTCTTTTGGATGGTCGGTAAATCGGTGCCCGTTGGACCATTTCTCTCGTCGACCACAATGACGACATCGCATTTTGGCTCGTAGAGTCGCACCTAGGCACGTGAAGTCGACCTTGCGATTTTTGCCGCATCGGCATCTTTTCACGAAACGGTCGATTTGCTCAAATGTGACCAGGAAGAGGCTGCCGATGCCCACGATCTTTCGCCGTTTTTTCTGAGCAAAAGGTAAAGCATTACTCATATTTTACACCTTTTCAGACGGTCCTCCGCTGGACATGCTCTCCACTTCGGGAGTGTCCATTTCCGAATCTCCGTCTTCTTCAGCCGCATCCTCGGCATCCATAATCTCAACCACGTCGACATCTCCCGGTGGCCAGGTGCCGACATCTTCAGACTCAATCACGATTTCTTCCCCGACTATCATGTCGGCCGGCATCACGCATTTCATTTTCTTCTCCTATTTGATGTCTATATTGCGTAATAAGTTCACATACTGCTATTTTTTGCTGTGTTTTAGGTGCGTGTGCGGCGCAAATTTGGGGTCGAGCCTTCAGCCAAGCGTCTGTTGGCAGAGCGAGCCCGTTTTCCTCAAGCTCGGAGACGATTGAGCTGTAGTTCTGTTTTGTCCTCTGGACAGAAAGGTAGCTCGTCTTCATGTTCTTTTTACAGATGAGGCAGTGAAATCCTCCCATCCTGCAAATTGAGATGAACGTGAGTCCAGGAAAACAACATTTGACTAATAAACAACAATTGGACAATATTTCAGGCTTTTCTTCTTCTCGCGCGACGTGCAAACTTCAGTTTGAATAAATATTTCGTCGATTTCAAAGTTTATGTATGTGGTAAACGCGCCATATTGCAGTTCTAAAAATTACTTTCATTGGTGAAAAAAATGGAGGAATATTTCCGTGTACATTTCCTTCCTCTGACAATATGTTCCAACGTATTCTATTGGAAATTTGCTTTCCAATGACACAAATCCAGGAACAGGCAGCCGGCGGAAGCTCCGTGGTCCCCGAGGGTATTTGGGGCCCCTCTGCCGCCCCCCTCCACTCGACCCCTTTGGTGTACTGGCTAGGGCATCGGGCTGCGGGGCGGACCATCCCTGGTTCGACCCCCGTCCGGTGCGACCCTCTTTGCTCTTTCACCGATTCCATCTTTCCCCAGCCCTTTAAATTCCCGGTCTCTATACCCTAATTAGCCGTCTCAATTTCGGATCAAGGTCTCCCTCCGGAACACTGAATCCGTATGCAAATTTCCCATCGCCACATCTCAAATTTCATCGGCTTCCGGGGAGGGGCGGTAGTGGTGGGAGAGACCAAAGGCAAACACACAAACATGAGGAGGGCCAACTGTTGCCAGTCCACGTCCATCCTATAGACATGGTATATACCGGAGCAGGGATGGTGGTGGGGTGTCCTGTGTCTCGTGTGACCCCACGAAGCCGACCTTTTTGTGCGTGGGGTCGCCGGGGTTTGTAAGCCTATTCCAGGCGCCGGAGCGGGCCTTGTCTGTGTCATTTGTTGTCGCTAGTGGTGTCTACAATTTTGGTTGTACGTTTTGGGGATAGATTTAGGTGTTAAAAACCGGTTTTCATGCCTTTTTCACAAAGAAAAGCTAAGGGTCTCGCAAAAGCGAAAGTTTTTGGGCAGTATATAAAGATTCCACCAGTCTAATAATTTTCCTGACTCCCAAAAATAAGGTCTGCGAGAAAAGCTCGAAAGCAAACTGACATTCTTTGTTACAGAGTATTGCCGATTTTGTTCTAAACGCAAGTTGTTTATAGTTCTTGAAGGTGCCGTTTTTGCCAAGGTGTTGTATTCCGAATTACACGCTAGTTTCAAAAAATAAGCTAAATTCCCCGAAAACAGTGCGCAAAAATAGCAATTTTTGGAACTTTCTGAAATTCAAAATAGGTCTTTAGCAAAATTTTCATTTAAATGAGGTCTTTTAAAGTAGTTTTAATTTATCTCAGAGGTATCAGCTGTTATATCAGAAGTACCTTTCATTTTTCTGGATTTTTGGCGGCTTTTCGAATTTTCTGTGAATTTCAGCTGTCGTGTTGCATGACCTGTCAATTGCCGTCGCCCGTACTCTCACTATCTACATGTGCTCAAAAATAACTATTTTTTGGATGTTTTCTAAAATTGAATTAGGCATCTATTTTTTAAGGTTCTTTTGGTTTTACTTTTTTGTAGGCCGTTCTGAGGTGAAATTCGTCTTTTCGACCTCTCGTGGAATTTCCATTACATTTCCCTTTCCCATCCACAGCGTGTCATTGTTGTGACCAGTACTGTCCCTACTCTCTGTTCCTCTGTCACTCGCAATCTGTTGTGTGCACGCGTACCACCAGGTTCAACCCCTTCTCCTGGTGGGTCCCAGCCACTGGGGGCCAAATCCCCCTATAAACCCCCGATTTCCGGGGTGGGCCCTAACCCCTAGCCCTGGGGCTATGTTTGCACGGTCGGTCGAGCGGACCACAGGAATCTCCCGGACCGCGAGAGAGACTAGACGTAGACCATCCCAGCGCAAGCACAGAAGCCCCGCGGGGAATTTAGGTGTTGCTCTCTCTCGCACTCTCTCTCTCACTCTCTTTCTTTCTCTCCCTCTCTCTCTCTCTCTCTCTCTCTCTTCTCTATCACCTCCCAGCTCTCGTTTATCCAAAAAGGGGGAGGTTTTTCGAGGGGGATTACGGGGCCCGGAATGCGCTGCATTTTTTTTTCTGAGAGCGAGGACTCTCCTCTTTTGGTACTAGTGATTTCCTTCAAAGCTACTCCAGGGTACTCTGGCCTTTTCTATGACGTTATAAACTTCTTCTCGTTTCCATAATTTAATACAAAACGTACATCATTACATACGCTTGACTCCCATTTTGAAGCGCAAACACTGATTTTTCGCTTTTAGGAGGCTTTGGAAAGTTCCCCTAAAATTCAGAAGCTTTTTCAATTACATTTAAAACTATTTCGGGTCTAGAATTAATTCTGTGGCTTATTTTGCAGTTTTTGTTCGCTCTGGCCCATCGATCAGATGCGTCACGCTATTGACGCCTGGAGTCGAATCGTTTTGACTGTCACGCTATGCTTCATCGATGCACTTCACAGCATTCTGCAGAAAACATCTTTTTCGAAAGACGAAACCGTGTTTTTTTCGCAAGGTTTAATGCTGTCCTTACATGTTGTTTACCGTAACAACTGTCTTGACGGGATTTGCGATTTCGATAGTTCTGCCATCAATTTAATTTACACCATCTGACATCAATTTACATGAATGCAGAAAAGTATCGTAATTTGAAAACAATGAATTATCTAGAAGCTGCTGTGACAAGAACTGCGGGGCTTTTCAATTATCTTTCCTGCGCTTTCCCGTTTCCAGTCGATAATAATTCGAGAATATAAAATACAAAACGGCTCTAAAAAGGCAATACAATCGAACATTTTAGCGTAAACTAATTTCAGCGAGTTTTCCAAGTCGATGATCGGAGGAAAAAGAAGATTGTAAAAAGCAATTAATTCTTGCATTTTTCATGATTTTTTATAGCGATTTCATTATTTTTATAATTGAAGCTCTATCCTAAAAACTGCTCCTTCCTGCTGTTGCCCACTTCACCACCTTCTGCTTTCCCTCCTTGACTAGCTGTATAAATGGTGGTTGATTTCCATTCCGCCTCCTTCCCAAGGAACTAATGCCCCATATCTGGGTGGGGGATCGGTTGGGGGGATGAAGAATCCCGGGGTGTTCCCATCCCCCTCGACTCCGAACGACAATAGGGATTCCCGCGTTCGGTTTCGAATATCACTCGATTCTGCATCGTTTATCAGCTTTCTCTCTAGGACTGGGATGTGTCCTACGTTTTATTGTCGATCAGAACCATTTTATGGGTTTTTAAAGGGCTCGGAAAGTGAAAATCAGGATAGGAAATGGAATTCCGTAATCTCTAGATATCGCTTGAATTTTTGAATATTTTAGTGTCCAAACATGTCATTAATGCGTACGCGCTCCGCGACAGTGTAATTTATCCATAAAATCGTAGCTATTTTCACCTTTATGATTTTTAAAGGGACCGGCAAGGCAAAATTTCGACGTTTTGATGGTCATAAATTGTCAGAAACAAATTTACTGTTTAAAAATTTACTAAACGATTTTGCGGCTAATTATTATTTGGTTTGATCTAACTAGCCGTCCGTATCGTAAATATTAAATTACATTTACGCAGGTTTCTCGAGCTTGTGGCTTCCAGCTCCCTTTAAGCTGCACTTTTTGCTATGTTTTTGGCCACCCAATTAAGCTATAGCAGTGACGCCAGTTTAGTATTCCGGGATATTTGGCCTATTTTAAGGTACTGGGTTTCCGTTTCCGTTTCGGAAACCGGATCCGTGATTATCCTCCGGGGTGGTGGTCCGGCGGCCCGGCCGGCCGTCCAGCACACGGCCATTGATCGCCTACTTTCCCACGCAACACAACCATCCCAGTCTAGCAAGCCCCAAAAACCCAGATTTAGGTCAAAGCAATCGTATGCCCATCATTCGGTATGGTGGCTCGGCGGGCAGCCGCTTAGATCTGCCTTTTTGGGGTTAATCCTGCACAAAAAATGCCTCAAAAGCTGAGGCTATTCTCGTCAAAAACAGCATTCCCTCATTCCCTTTGGTTCTCTCTCTCTCTCTCTCGCTCTTTCTCGCTCTCTTCGGAGCCCTTTACTTCAATTGTCGCTATTTTTCGTTACCAGATACACAATTTTACTCCTTACTGCCGATGTAAATCCCGACCCATTTCGATACCTCTAATTGCGCTCAATACCACGAGGCGATGAAAATTTGATGGGTCTTTTTGAGGGTGAATGAGTCAGTGAATGAGAGTGAATGGGACGGCTGTGTGTCTGTTGGGGGTATACAGGTGGGGTGGATGGGTACCACCTGTTCGTCCTGTCTGTTCTGCCTGGCTGTCTATTCTCGAACGGTCACTACTCGTTTTCTACGGCAATTCATAATGTTGTGTATACCGCGATAGCTAATATTATTCGATTTAAATTTTAGCATCTATTAGGTATAAAATTTAATAAAAATTTACTGGCAAAATGCCAAAAAAGCGGTTTTGGATGTAAAAACTGTTTCTTGTCAGAAACATGTCAAATATTATTTTCTTCGGTTAATTTGCATAATGCTGGTCCTGGTGGTTGTCCCTCTCAACCCCCAACAAATCCCCAAATCTGTCGGAACCGCCTGAAGGGGCACGCATAAATGAGTGTTTGTCTAGTGGGGGCTCTTCCCGGTACAACCCCCCTTCAGAAGTCTGAGTCAGTATGCCCAGGTAGACCAATTTTCGATTTCTCTCTCTCTCTCTCTCTCTCTCTCTCTCTCTCTCCCTGCCCCAGGATGCCTTCTAATTAGCATCCGACTGGCGGTGGTGGCGGCGGCACGGGTAAACACCGGCTTTTTGATTGCCGTCTGACGATTTAGCGGTTGTTATATTTAGTCAATTCGTGATATTAAGGATATTTATACTCTGATAACTACGTTAATCCTGTCTGTTCAATATTTCGTGAATCTTATATTTCATCCATTTGACGATTTGTCAAATTTTGATGTAGACGGCCCTTTATTTTAATTCTATGACACTATAAAAACATTTTTATAATATTTCAAATTTTGTTAAGTAGGTATTCTATTTTTATATCTTTGCATGCGACTATTTCCCACCTTTTCCTGGATTCTAACGGCCCGCCGGCTGGCTTCATATGACCTTGAGGCGAGGATTGCATTGCAATGCATTTCTGTGTCTCATCCCTTTCAAATAATCCTCCGACAACCTCCTCCTTCCTCCCCTTCCTCCCCGTATCCAGAAATTGGCGTGTGAAAATGCGAAATGTGTGAGGAGCGAGGGTGGGATGGGGGGGAGGACGAGGAATCGAAAGACATGTGATCCCATAGGTGGCGATAGTATGTACCTGCCCGGACTGACCGGATAAAAATAGAAAAATAGTTTCGGCTTCCATCGTTCTCCAAAAACCTTTGCTAGCTTGCCTTTATGACGTAAACCGCCCACGGTTGTTTTCAGATGGATACGTCGTCGTTTAGATTCGGGAAAGTGTGACAATTTGTATTTATTTTGTTAGGCTTTATTGACTTTCCATTTTGGGACCGTGATCATGTAGTTTTCAGCTATCTGCACGGTTTTCGAGTTTTATTAGGGTTTTTCTATTTTTTATTACTATTTTATTTTATTTGGCGCAGAAATTAGATTTTTAATATTCAAACAACTTGCCTATAGGTTTTTCCAAGAATCGCTGCTAGCTTGCCACAATGGCCGACCGCTATATTTATGCACTCTGGATTTTTGCCCGAATTCATGATCTTTCTCTAGAATTCCTCGATTCTCTTCAAGAATCTCTGATAGTTTGCTACATTAGCCGGAGACGGTTCAGAATTTTGGAACGAATTTCTGTTTTTCTCTTTTTTATATCTTTTCCTTAAGAAGTGCTGCTAGATAGCCAGCTAAGGATTGCTTTGAATTTTATTCTTTAATTCCGTGCAACGAATTTAAATAACTGTCTGCCAACGGTCCGTCCATTTTTTACCGTCTCATTCTAACCTTGAGGTGGTCTGTGGATTGCCGGTTGAGCCCATTAAAAGCGTGAGCTATTCTCATCCTCGTTCTCCTCCTCATCCTCCTCATCCCCTCTCGATCGTCCGAAATGAGCGAGCCATTTCCTCGTTTTTCCCTTTTCACCGCTGGCCTGCCATTTCTACTCATTCACCCCATTCTATGGCACAACCCAGACATTTCACTCGGCTCGGCTGACGCTCAACATATGATCCCAGTGAACCACTCGAGGTTGGTTATGTTATTTGAAACAGCTGGGCTGATATGCAGGGTTATTTATAGTCATAGACGATAGAAGTTTGCGGTACATGTGTACAGAGTTTCCGGTTGGAATTCCGAGTCCATGTAGATAGGATTTTGAAGCAAAGAATTTTTTGTTACCCCTTTGAGACTTTTTGAACGTTTAAAACTGACAATTTGACGTAGATGTGTCATAACTGGGCTTATTTTTAGGTTTAAGGTGTAAGGATTTTGCAAAAAAAAATAAATAAAAAACTTTCGGAAGCTGCTGTCGAGAGCATAGCCCGAAATTCAGCCTCTTTAAAGATTTTTGGTGCGTTTTTGGTTTCTTAGGGATGTTTGATTAATTTGTGCCGTTTTGAACCTCTTGTTTTTATTATAAATGAGAAAATTGGGAGTTATTTCAAAATGTGTATTGCAGTGTAAGAAATAGCATTTGATCTTCTTTTTATTTTTTACTAGAGCGCTTTTGACGCAGATATTCGCCGAATTTTCGCATGTTTTGAGCTTAATCCGGTGGTTTTCTTACTTATTTCCGTCTCTTCGCATTTTTCCTGAAACCCTGCCAATCCCACATGCCTCGAAATGGTCTGCGCACTCCGAATTAGCCCCACTTTCGATCAGCTGCTCCTGGTTTCGGCCCGTGGGGCAAGTCTGGATCCACCCCCGCGCGTGGAGACAATCAGTTTTTTTTCTGGCAGCGCGTTTGTCATAGGCATTCTTGTGGGCTTTTTCAGTAGGAAACGCGCTTTTGGAATTCTTTAAGTCAGTGCCATTTATAGACGCTTCTTTTCCTTTTACCATAAAGCTTTTGAAAACTCCAAACGGCGAGTTTTCCATGATCGTTCTAACTGTTTTGTGAAAAATCGTGTTTCCAACGTTTTCGACTCCAAATATCTTGGATCCGCGCAATTTTGCTTCAAATATAACCCCCCTAAAAATCAATCCTGGACCGCACAAACTAGACGAAATTGTTGCATAATTAAAACCGCCTAAATAGCAGCTCAAATTTTGACTTCCTTTTCTGACATATGCGCGAGTTTGCTGAAACATTGTCTTTTGTATATTCCACACCACATATTTAATTTACCAGCAATTCAGCGTTAAATATCCCCAAAAATCAATTCCCGATCCCGTGCCGTCCGCCACAAAAACGTGTCGCCGCCACAGATCTAATTTCCGCGACTCCTCAGAGGGCTTTACGGGGGCTGTGAGAGTTCCGAATTGAAAAGCCGAGGGTCCGGACGAGACTAAAGGCCCGAAGAAGGGAAACGCCCCGGGAAAAGCCACTCAACACCCCCCTATCATTTGGCAGGGGGGAAGAAGAAGCCTCCCCTAGGGGTCTCGCCCCTCACAAATGGCCGAATCTTGTTTACTGCTGTGCCCTATCTCGTATGTTGAGTTGAGTGACCATATGGAATAGCCAGTGGCTAGGCGGAACAAACTGGAGCTTTAGTGGAAAAATTTTTGGGCTAGAAGGTTGTGCTCCTTTCATCGCCGGATCACCTGTTTTTTTTGAAGGAATAAAGCGTCCATTTTCAAAGATTGGTTCTTAAAAAGCGTTTTTCCATGACCGATACCTTTTTAATTGTCGAACAAATTTAAATCTTTAAATGGCAGGTCGGCTCCTCAATGATCTCTGCTAAATTGCATCCGGCACGCGGCAGTTAAGGCAAGCTGTTACGGCTTCTAGGTTTCCATGCGTGTATTTACTAAATTTTCCATAAATTTTTTGTTATTACACTATTGGAGGTCCTAAATGAACTCTGCTAACGAACAACCCTGTTTTTTATGCTCGTTTGACGAATTTTTGAAGATTATAATGTTTATCCCTCAATCGGCAGGTCACAGAGGTGTCCACTAGGCCGTTTTGTGTTATCGTGCCGGTCAGCGTTTCAGGTCTCTTTAAATCCGGCTTTCACGCTCGTCGATTTCAAATTGAAGATTTTCCATGCGTTTACTCTTCCCACCTTCATCACCATTCCCCAAATCCGTAACGTTCGCACTGACCAGCTTTCCGGGGGTGATCCCCCGTTCTAAATGACTGTCCAGTCATCCTCTCCCTAATCCACCCCGTTCCCGGGGTTTATATCCCTTTCCGGTAGATTGCCATAATTTGGGAAATGGCCATCGGCCACTCCTTCCGATTCCCGAATGGCGAGAGTCGTGGTATCCCTCTGTGTCTCTCTGCGTCTCTCCCACTCTCTATTGTCCATTTCCAAGGCCACACCTTCTTCTTTTCTTCCTTCTCATGTTCTCACAACATGCCCTACAAAACATCCCATGTCTCGTCCAGGGAAAATGTCAACCCATACCCCTTCAGGGCCTATAATTTTGGTGTCGACCGTTCGTCCGTTTTTTTTGCGTGCAATCGTTATGGGAAAATGTGACCTTCTCTGGGCGTCTTGTCTAAACATTTTCTTTGCACCTTGATGCGCTTTTTTATTTTACGATAACTTTCCCGTTTAGAGCCTCGGAAAGCGCTCATTATTTGACCGGCTGTGCCTAATAAGTATCTGATCTGAGAAGCCTCGATAAAAAATCCAATTTTTTAGATTTCTAGATTTTAAGAAGTCATTTAGGTCATGAATGGAAGGCTAATTTTACCTCTCTCTCACTCTCTCTCACTGTCTCTCCGGCTCTCTCGCTCTCACTCTCTCCCAATCTCTCGCTCGCTTGCTCGCTATCTCTCCCTCGGCATCTCTCTATCTGTCGTTCTTACCCCTTTCAAAAACTGCATGGTTCTAGTTTTAATTCGATATTATAATTTTCCACTTTTCGAATTCTTTTTTCTTAATTTGATTTTTAAGGGTCCCTAAACTTCATTTTTTTCAGGTCCCGCCCACCGCCGCCACCTCAACAATTCGCCTCCCACCCGCCGCTCCTCTGATACCCTGGCAATTCTAATATTCCGATGGTGACCTGATGATCCTACGATTTCCCACCCCACACATCGGCTCATCCATTTTCTTTTTTATTTTCTGGGTATTTCACTACGGGTCCGCTTCTTTTGTCGAATTCCCGCCGTACAAGCCAAGCGAGCAGTATAAAGTGAGTTAAACTTTGCATTCGTTGTTATCCGATTTTTAATAGCATAATCGGTTTCAAGGGCGATGCATGGAAGATTTTTTATGAAAAATTGTAGTGCGGCGCCTTCTTGCGTGGACGGGTCGACGATCGGGCACTTTCGCTGTACTACAGCGGCATACGACAGTTTGTTGATTGGGTGTCGCAGCCGTTTCCGCACCGGGGTAGGCTTTTTACTTGAAATTTACTTACATGGATCTGTCCCCAGCCGCTTTAGGAGAAAATTCCGGCTTAAATCTACCCCTAGTAAAACCGTAAAACCCGAGACCGGGAACAACGGGACTTCAATCATCGTCCAATCTGCCACACCCCAGCGCTAGATGCGTCAAATAATCGCTTTATTTGGGTTGGGTGGTGTGGCGACGGAATGGGTCCGGTTTTCGCTACCTGCTCTGCCGTACCTTCCTTCCCGAATACCCGAGGGGGGGGGGGGCTTTTCACCTTTCGTATTTTCTGGCATTGGATGGTCGAGGGGGAGGGCATCGGAATCCCATTGGGCTAATGGGTTTCGAATCTTTTGAGGGGCGTTGATCGGAAGGAGATGGAATTGGTACCGGGCAAAGACAAATGTTGACTTCGATCAATTAACTGCGCATAATGAGCTTTAATTTTACCGGATTTTTATCTTAATCTGAACCCAAGACAAAGTATCCACATGGCTGGCAAGGTATCCACATTGACTGTCGATGCCAGACGGGCTACGCGCATGCGACCCACCACTATTTCATTGCGTAATGGACCCCGTTTGACAAACAGTCATCAAATTTTTTCGTCACTGCGAGCGTTGCGGTTGGTGGTACGCCAAATACGTTGAAGTATCCTGAATCCTGAACATGGATCCTGAAATTCATTAACCTTCCCTTGCCTGTCCCATTAGTACGTATCATAGCCTCGAAAAAACTTTATGGCGCGTAATGCCACACGGAAATGTCGCGATAGCATACGGTCTACGCGCCTTGCGTTTCGCTGTCACCTCAAACTCGGTAAAGAAGCCGTAGGCAGCAAATCCATAGTCATACCTTGCCCGTTCCTTTAATCGGTATTACCCTTTCAAGGCCCTCTTTCTCAAGTTGTGTGATGGAACATGACCGCCACTCGTCGGTCAGATACGCATGTTTTGCGTATCGCGTCCGTGGCGTGCGTATTTATAGACCAAATTATATAAGGTAGGACTTCTATAGCATCATGTCTTCCTGGGTCCTTTAATTTGGGCGGCATCCAGCTTCTAGCTTTTTGTTCCACTTTTTCTTTTGTTTGCCTTTCTTCCGTCACAACAGTAGGCTCATCCGTAATTCCATTTCTCAAGCCAGACGAAACGAAACCCCCGGACAATGACTAACTGCAGGGAAAGGGTGACTAAAGAAGCGCATCAGGCGCACTTCTTAAGGGCCTTGAGAAGCCTAAGCAGACCGACTCGAGAATGCGGGATTTGTCCATCTCGCAGGCGGTCCAGGTTTCTTTGTGAGTAGTAGGGCGCGCGCGTAGCACCCGCTTTTTTGGGGGGTTGTTTGCCCACATAGTGTCCACAGTACACGGGAATCCAATGGACACCATGGGAATGTATTGGGGGAATCTGGATTCGGCGCCTTAAAAAGTATCGCACGAACAGGCAGGCGTGATCATAGGGGAATTCTATGGTTGGAATTTTAAGCGTTACGCCGCGTGACTTACGCTTGAAGATAGCGAATATCCCGTGAAGCTAGAGCTGCGAAAACCCTTGAAAATAATGCTATAAAAATTACAGTAATATGAGAGTCATTATCTAATTATACAATTGCATATATATCGCTGGAAACTTAATAAAAACCGATATTTTTCCAGAATTGCTTTCGAACGATGCCCTCCGCGGTGTCTTCAAGGAGTGGCGTGGCTCACTGGAGAACCGTTCCCTTCAGGTAGTCCATTTGTCATATTTCAGTTTCCTTGGTGTTCGTTTGCCAAATCGGGTAGCTAGTCATCGTGCGCCTTGCCAGGCGGTTTTCGTTTCAATTACCGAAATCATTCTCGAGCTTTGCGGGCCAGCGAGAGAGAGAAAGTGAGAGAGAGAGAGAGGGAGAGAGAAAAAAGAGAGAGGGGAGCGAACGGCTTGGACAACGTAGTAGGTTCTAATCCACTGTTAGGCGGTGAGGTTAGGGGGGGGGGCTCGGGGGCCGGAGGCGATTCTGTGACTAACCACGTACCCGCAAAATACCCTCGGACCGTCTAAAGATTGGTGACAGCAGAAATTATTAGCAGTGGTAGTAGTGGCCGTTACCGTGAAAGCAAACTTATCGTCCCGCCTAAGACAACGTGCTCCTGGGCTTTGGCTGCAGAAAACGTTGACATGAGACGTAGCTATAAAGATGTATAAAGACGCGTATTAATCAATAACAAACTGTGCCGTGTAGAGCTTAAACGTACAGTAAATTATGCCTATTTTAGTGGTTCTCGTGGCAACAATGGTGGTTGGCGGTAGCCGGAGGACTTCTACTGCTCTCCGTCCTCTTCCCGGTCATCTATGTGTTATACAGGTAATAAAGCTTATATTTCTTGATTATAATCTTACTCGTCCAGATGTTGTCTCTGTTGTTGCGAAGATGACGAGAAGAAGACGACCACCGACTCGCAGTACGACGGGTGCAAGCGGAATTTTTTGAACATTTGCATCGCCGTGCTGATCGTCATTAATGTGTAAGTTTAGTCAGTTGACGTACGAGATTCTGAGGTAACTTTTCCAGCTTCGCTGCCGCGACCCTCCTCGTTACATCCCAGTACGCAGAGTACGGACTTGACGAATTGCCGAACCGGTTGAACCAGTGCGTCGACGACTTGAACTTGTACAAGCGGGAAACGGACTTGGTAATTTACTGCCTAGAAGTCAATGCAAAATGGAAATACAGAAAATCCGCAAGTTACTGATCGACGACTTCAACCTGGTGTCCAACTCGTTAATGCAACAAATTGCTCACGCCGGGCATGCCGTAGTTGATCGGGTCAAGCGGGCAACTGGTGCTCATGCCATTGATGTATTCTTGAACATCACGCAAGGTAAATCCCGTGAAGAAGTGGCTTATCGCTATCTCTCTCCCCCCCCCTCTCTCTCTCTCTCTCTATCTCGGTTCACCGTTAAGCAGTTAAAACCCTATTTTCCAGGAGCCTCAGATGTCCGCTTCATCCTCTCCGAGGTCACCCAACAAACCCGTGAGCTCAACGAAGCCGCCGGGCAGTTCGCGGTGGAATTTGGAAGATTACGGAAAACAGCCGAGAACGAGATTGCTCAATGTACACATGTATGATTGATTTTTAAAGGCTTCAAGTCACATCCGTTTTTAGACAGAAACGGACGCCTTGAAGACGATGTGCCTCCAGGCTCAGCGACTTTTGGACAACATCAGTAGTATCAAATTTGAGATTAGTGAGGTAAGGAAACTTTTTTGGACTTCGCTTTCTTTAATAGGGGTATTAATGAAGCAGTGAGTCGCTTCCAGGAATTCCTCATGGGCGAAAACGTAAAGGCCTTGACACGGGTAGCCAACGCCGAGGTAACGACACTTCTCGAGCAGTCCAACCAGCAGTTTGTCGTACTTGAAAACGAGTTGCAACGGCATATCACGGAACGGTCTTACTGTAGGTTTTTGGATGTCTTATACCAAGACATCAGCGTAACTGACTAATGCAGTAAAACTCAGAGATAGAATCTAACTGATCAGTTACATCTTGATTTTTTTAGCCGCTCAAAACATGCTCAAGTCGATCGGCGACGACCTTTTCCAAGTCGCTGAGGGTGTTTCGAGTCATATTCGACAGGTATGCAAGCCTTTCGTCTGAAAAAATATCGTTAGTTTTAGCTCAACTTCGACCTTCTCTACCAAGCCATCGCACTCTACAATGGGGATCAGTATTATCCGATCAAGGACTGGATACACTACAGGTAAAAACTATGCCGAGATACCGTCTCTGCGCTCACTTTTAAACGCCATTTTTTCCTTTCATTAGCACAGTGTCTAAGCAACAATAGAAGAGGGAAAAGAACCGGGATGGATTTGTATTTGCTATCCCTTTAAAAGTGGTTTTTCACCTAATTTTCCCACATCTTCAGCTGGTACGGCTCCCTCGCCGTCACCGCCTTGGTCTGCTTGGCCTCCCTGTCCTTCCTATTCGGGTTGTTCTTCGGAATCTGCGGCCGTCGCCCGACGTATTACAACGATGACTGCTGCGTCAGAGCTACTGGCGCTAGCTTTTACTCATGGTATGAAAGAAATCCATACATTTAATTCTTGTTTTGTTTAGTGGTATCTGGATGTTACTCGGGCTTTTCACCGTCCTCTCGGTGTTGACCGTCACATTGCTGCTGATCTTTGGCAATGCTACAAGTTTGGTGTGCAATCCACTAGATGATCCGTTGAGTCACCCGGATATGATGTCGGCAAGTTTTTTGAAGCAGCGAGAAAACGAGAGAGACTGAGCGTGAGAGAGAGATAGATGATGAGAGAGAGTGAACGAGAGCGAGCCAGGGAGAGATCAAACTAAACCATTTTTTTAGTTGATGGAACGCTACGTCGAAATGGCCAAGCACAGCGAGCAGTGGAACCAATCCGAACTTGGCCAAATGTTGGACAAGCGAAGCCCAGTCGAAGTCATCCGAGCTTGCCAGAGGAACGAGACCTTCTACCAGATCTTCGACCTCGACAAGAAGTACCACCTCGCAGATCTGAACGTAAGTAGTTTTAGAAGTTAGGCCGAGGCCTGGATTTGATTTTTTTAAGCCAATCTAAATTATATTTTTAGAAATTCGACCAAGAAGCCATGAAACAACTTGATGAACAGCTAGGAAATGCTCTTGATCAGCTACCAATCGACCGGCCAATCGGAGCCTTTGTCAGTCAAAAGGAGATCGCCGAGCTACAATCACTTTCCGACGTCAACATCACACAGTTGTCTTCGGAAGGGCTGGCCAAGGTACGGAAAACATACTGTAAAGGCTTTATGTATTTCGAGCAACGAATTCCGTTGGCCAACTGATTTATAAGTTGCGGTATATAGATAGCTTACATATGGACGTATAACTCTGATTCCCATTTTTTTCAGATCAAGCAAAGCATCGACTCCTTGGATCTGATGAGCAAACTCAACAGCTTCACGAGTGATGCTGATGCTCAACATTCTGGAAGGCCACAGGCTGTCAGTTCCGTATGTTCAAAACGTTATTAACAGTATATTTTGAACATTTAGATCATCGAGCAAGTCCGGGAGATTGACGAACGGATCGCCCAGCCGCTGAGGAGTCGCTTGGAAGTCTTGTACAAAAACTTGACCGACTTGGATACAAGGTAAATGGATCGAAAACGTCGATTTACGCGTTTCTTAGGCTTCACGAGCTTCAAGTCCCGGTCTCATCGCTGATTGGGAAGCTGGAACACGCTCAAGCACTACTATCTCAGGTAGATTACGGGGTGAAACCTTCGGAAAATAAAATCCAAGATGTTTGAGCCAAACCTAATAATTATTCTTTAGGACGTCCGCTCCCACGTTGAACAGGCCGCCCGTGACGTCCTCAGGCAGTTGATCAACACCTTCGAGCAGTACGTGGAGCACACCAAGTTCCAGGTACGTTAAGGCAACATGTTAAAGACGAAGCAGAACTCTAAATGAAGTAAAAGTTTACAAAGTGATGCTTTTAGATCGAAAACGATGTCTCTTCCTGCGGACCGATCTCGGATGTTGCACGAAATTCAAGAGCTGCACTTTGTGGACATACCATCGATCCTATCGTAAGTTTATCAGCTTGAGCAGACGAATGCATAACGTATCTTAATAAATATATCTCGTTTTTCTGAAAGATCTCCGCTGTCTTACCCTATCTGCAAAGCATAAGCCTTCCCAGAACGGCGCCTGGATGTCGTTGCTGATCTCCCTACTCGTTTCCTTCCCAATCGTGCTGATGGCTACCGCACTTCGAAGACTCTACAATAAAATGCACGCCTATCCGAAATAGTAAGTATTAAGATACGTATCTTAGTCAAGGACTCGTTTTAGTTCCCAATTTGAGGAACAGCAATCGTAAGTATAATTAGCTTTGGGGTCCCATTTCCAATACTTGCTTTTCCCCCGAAATAATTCTTAAAAACTGCCCTCTTTAAATTCATAAATTTCTAAAATTACCTGGCTTATAAAACTACAAGCTTAACAACTTCATAACATTGCCAAATACCAGCTAAAGAAGCGCTATAAGCCATACAATAAGGATTAACCTTTTTAGCGTGGTCCACGAGCCAAATTCGATCGATCACCAAATGTCGTCATTCGTCACGGATATCTATGACGCCAGAATAAAACCGTAAGTCTGCAAAAATTCGGATTTTTTTGTCTCATTAAAGGCACGTAGAAGGTATTGCGATGGATTTTTTTTTCTATAGATCTTCTATGAATTTTGCCGCGCTCGCGACACGCAACGCGGGAGCGGCAAAACTTATGGTGACTCCATCGCAAACAAAATCCATAGTAATTGTTGCCTTGCCCGCCACTTTAATAGAAAAAACCTAAATTTTCTTGACGTGTCTGGCCTTGAAAAAACCTCCTTCCAAACCACCATTTCAGGGGCTATCCAAACTACACGTACATGGATGACTACCACCGCCATTATCGATAAATGACCTCTTCCCCTCACGATTCAGTTATATATTTTTCTAGTTCCCCCATTTCCGATTTTCCAATTTCTCTCATAATTGACGATTCCACCCCGGTTCCAAAGCATTTTACTCTACTTCAGCCCATCTCGATTACAAGTTTGATCTTCTTCTTTTTATCAGTTAAGCCTCCTATATGATACTTTCCGCCCTCTCGTGATGCTCTTTCAGTTAGCCTAACTTTTCTTCAATTTTCAGCATTTCAGTTGGCTCCTATTAATGCTTTCCACTGGATTCCACTTGATACACTTGACATGTGATGATGTGCCGCGCGCTTTGAGATTAGCAATAAAGTATGGTTTTTCGAGCTTTTTGAAGTCGAAAGCGAAACCTAAATGCAAAGCATGGTTCGAAAACGGGTGTCAACTTTCGTTAAAGGGTTCGGCTTTGGAATGAAGATGTCCAACATTCGCGATATGCAGTGCGGCACGCTTTTTTGCATGTTTGACGATAGTTTTAGCGCGAACCTACGGTACGCGCGCTACGCGTTGCCGGCCCGTTCGAACCCGTAGGAAACGACCGCGTTTTTGCGATTGCTGCGACAACCCATGTTCCGGAAATCCAAATGCGGATCCGCCCTCCAGATGGCATGCACACTTTCTCGCCTTTTCGCTGCAGTAGAGGTAGCCGCATGCGCCCGTGTAGCGGATGATCATAGACATCCAAAAAATTATGGTTTCCAGGAACACGTTCCGCGCCGGATTTGCACCTGCTATAGCTTCGATACATGGCTCCTGAAATCACCATCCCTGCGAAGAATCATTATTTTTTATGTAGCGCAGTGGATGATGCGCTCTGCTGCCTTTCGTGGCTGCTGCGTTGCGTTGTGGCTGAGTTTCGTCGCGTTGCGTTAGTGATGCGTTGCGTTAGTGTGACGTTTTATCCACCGTACAGAATTCCATGCGCCTTGCGTCAAAAGGTCGTGATAGAATTATTAACGTGACAAATCAAGATTTTACCGCGACACGCCATAGTTAGCCTACTTCGTACTATGGAGATATGAATCATGCCTTGCCAGTCCCTTTAAATCAACAGTATCCTTCAAAAAAAATCACCATTTTCCCTTCCCAGGTTCACAAAAATTCCCCCATGGTAAGGTTGGGTGAGACGACAGTGCTGGTGTTGGCGTGGGTGATAGCCTTGAGCGATCCGTGTAAGTGGCGGAAACCAGCTTCGGAAAATGGACGAGACAGAGCAGGAGGCTGCCCCTCCCCTCCTCTTCTCCAACGCCAGTTTTCTCCCCGCTACCCGAAAAACGAGCATAATCTTCTTCCCCTTCTTCCGCTCGCCAAGAGGCTTTTGGATCGGCAATCAGCGCCCGATCCTGAGCCTGTTTCTCATCGATTATCCCCTCCCTTCCTTGGACGGTGCCCCTAGGCGATCGAGAAAAAAGCGGACAGCCTTTGGATTCGGGGAAAACGGCTAGGCGGCTTTTGCTTCCCGGTATCCTATTAACTATCTCTCTTTTTTATGGGTTTTCAAGACTTATGCCACGATCTCCGCGGGAATCTACGAAAACACGACTTTATATTTAAAAAAATCTATAGTTTTCATTGCTGGCTGTCATTAGCAATACCTGATGAATTCGCCGCTTCCGCGACACGCAACGCGCATCATCAGCTACGTGGTTACTTTCAACTATACATAATCGATCACGCATTTTTGATTGAGGAGCACGGGGGTGCGCGCGTTGCGTATCGCGACTGCGCCCAATTAACCATTAATCCATAGTCAAGAGAGTCAATAGTACATAGTAAACGCGTAAACGCTCATAGTAATTTGCGAGTAGTAGTTCAATAAAAACCTGGAAATTTTAAGGAATCCCAAATTTTATTGATCATTGAGGCTAAGTAGCAGAATTTGTGCACGAGCCGGTTGTTTTCCAATTGAACGTTCATTTTCAGCCTGAGAACATCTGAAAAGATCGCAAAGGTTCACTTCCTGGTTCGCGTTTTTATACTCACTTTTGCTTCCCACCTTCACTTTCTTTTCCCTTTTTTCTTAACGATGCCATGAATGCTTCCAGGCCCGTAAGAGGGGGGCGAGGGGGGCGAGCCGCCCCCGAAATCGGCCGAAGGCCGAAAAGTTCATAAGGGGGGACCCTTATGATTTCATTTTTCCAAAAAATTTTTTTGCCTGCGGCGCTGTTTTTGGCTATTTTTAACACTAGTTTTAGTGTTATAAACCCTATGTTTTGAAAAATTTTGCCTGCGGCGCTGTAGTTTTAGTCATATTAGTAAAAAAATTTTGGGGTCGCCCCCCCCCGAAATTTGGGTTTGTTACGGCCCTGAATGCTTCCAAGGTTAGCACAGCAGGTAGTTTTTCCTTTACTCACTTGTTCCTCCTTGTCGCTACAGCTCTTTTTATTATTCGATTTCCTGGACAAAACTTCGTAAAAAATTGTGTTTTTTTTTCAGATTTTCCGGATGTCTCGATTATTACTACTAGCCCTTGTGGCATTGGTGGCAGCAGAGGAATTCGAATTTGATGAGGCTACGGTAGCACTTATTTATCACTTTGCAAACGAAATCGTCTTTTTCAGGACTGCGGAACCGCTGCCAGCAATTGGAAGCCATGCATTGAGCGCAAATTGGCTGATCAGGTACGTAACATCAATGTTTTCGGGATGTGTTTTGGTTTTATTCTACGGTGCTTTAGTGCATATTGATTTAGGTCTTAATATTCACAACCCTTCTTTACTAAAAAAACTCTTTTAGGTATTCAGCACCTGTTGCGAGCGATTCGTACCGCCGGAGTGCCGCGGAACCTGCATGTACGAGACGAATGCCATTGAGGCTCGCGTGATCGTGGGTTGTTCGAACGCTCTCTTGCCTGTGTTTCGGTCAATTTTTGCAATTTTTCTTTTAAAAACTCCAAATTTCAAATTTTAAGTTCCAATGGTTTCGAATTCAAAACATTATTTACCAAGCTCGGTGAAAGACGTGACTTTTTAGTTGATGCATTCTATCCAGCCTGCTCGCTGCCGCCTTTACAAGTACCTGCCGGCCGTTGTTCACTGCGCTGCCCAGGTAACAAACGGTTTTTCGGGTATTATATTCGAAATTTTGACGCTTTCGCGAACCATTAGATGCTTTTTAAAAACTCCATTATAGATAACGTCGACGAGCTTTGCATAACTTTGATTTTTTAGACGCACGATAACTCCGAGTGCTGCCGCGCCAAGGGAATCCACACTCTCGGCGAGCAGTGCATGATGCTCTGCACCCCTCAGGTCAGCTTAAATATAACTTAAATCATGCAGAGGTCAAGAGGTCAAGTGGATCCCTAAGAAATCTCTCTGAATATGTTTTCTCACCATCTCCCCACCCCATTTTTCCATAATGTGCTAGTATTTTCTGGGCTGCAATCAAAGCCAAAAAATTTGGTTGAATCAAACATGAATGCTGCTAAAATCGTATCTGAGTATCTGCCATCAACATCCAATTTTCAGAAGAACCCCCGCGTGCTGTGGGGCATGAAGAGCCTGCGGAAGGATCTGGTGACCTGCCTCGCCAAATGGGACCAAATCATGCAATGCCACCAGAGCGGCCTCCGTGCTCGCAAGGTCCCCCGACCAACACAATAATAATCGAGCTATTTCAGTGTTGAATTTCTTGGTACATATCATGTTTTGTGGGAATAAAATCTTTTTTTAAAAGTCTGCTAATAGAAATCTGCTATTTTGCTCTATTTAGCGCGTTTAGGTATTGAAAAGTCAGAAATAAAAAATCAATCAAAAATGTCAGCGTAAAAATGAGCTTCCTAAGCGTATTGATGATTAATTTGTTAGAGACCCGCGTTTTAACCGAATCACCTTCAAAATTAAGAAGTTTTGAGTACGGTGACCGCCACTGATGATAAATAAATTCCATTGATACATTTTTCCCATTTTATTAGGTTTTTACAGTATTGGTTATCTTCTACTTTCCATATCCCCAAAACGCCATACCCCATGCATTTCTCAATATGGAGCTGCACTCCGCTGAAAGAGGTTCCCCTGCCCATAGGACTCGAACCCGAATGGCCATTTCCGTTTTTGAGTTGTACGTACCTCAACTTCCATTTCCTCTCGTTTTCTGGCCCTCCATCTCTCGCATTTTTTTGCCATCTCCACTGGGAACACACAGCTGCCCCTGGTCATGAGGTAACCAGAAAAATTTTCATGCAAAAAGGCAGGGCGGCTTGTAACTCGTGGCATTCTCCTGACTTTCCATTCTTGGCAAACCTTTTAAGTAGAGATGTTATTATTCAAATCAAATCCTACTCAAATCCGATTTGATTTGAATAAGAAGATTTGAGATTTGATTCAGCCGAAATCAAATCTGGATTTGATTTGAAACTGGCTGGACTTTCAAATCAAATCCAGATTTGATTTGAGAAACTTTCAAATCTGCAGTCATTTTTACGGATGTAAATCACAAGTCGGGCACCAAAAAATTTAGGCAAAAGAGGGAAATTTTTAATGTTTTGCATATGATCCTAATCAAATAAACCGGAAATTGCTGATAAGCATCCATTTTCTCACATTTGCTTCGGAAATTTGGGTTGCTCAAATTAATCAAATCAAATCGGTCCAGGATTTGATTTGAATTGGACTTCCGGTTCAAATCAAATCCGATTTGATTTGATTCTGCCGGCAAATCAAATCAAATCTGGATTTGATTTGAGAAACTTTCAAATCCTCAGATTTGATTTGAATAATAACATCTCTACTTTTAAGGTATTGTAGGCTGAATTCTAGATAGTAAACCTTTTGTTTTCAGCATGATGCGCTTCCCCTTCCAGGGCTTCTTGGTCTTTGCCATTATTGCACACAAAGAAAACCCGGAAAAAATGCAATTTGACCGCAAATGAGGTTCCACCAGGAATTTACAAAAAAATGTAATAATCCCTTTTATTGGAAAGGAGGCAGGGAAAGAACAGAATGACTTACCTCTGTCCTGTTTTAAGCGTATTTTCTACAGTAACCCGATCCTTCATTTCTGGAATATGGGCGGCACTTCCTGAGCATCGCTGGTCAAAAGTTTCATAAAAACTTCCGCGATTCGTGTATTCTCCCCGCTCGAATCAACAGAAATTCACCAAATTTTTGAACATGGTATTAAATAAGCCCTGATGCAAATAGACAAATAGCCGATGGTCAATGGGGGGACACCGGGGAAATCACAGCCACTAAAGACGGTCTCTAAAGTATGTTGGTTTCTTAGATGGCCAGGATAGTGTGTAGTTTTGCTACACAAAAGCGTGCATGATAGGGCTGACCAGGCCCGTAAGAGCCCCCCGAAATCAGCCGAAGGCCGAAAACTTCATAAGGGCGGATTCTTATGATTTTATTCTTCCAAAAAATTTTTTCCCTGCGGCGCTATTTTTGCCTGTTTTTAACACTATTTTTAGCGTCCTAAAACCCGTGTTTTTTAAAATTTTGCCTGCGGCGCTCAATTTTTGGTCGATTTAGAAATTTTTGCCGCCGCCCCCCCGAAATTCGGGTTTGTTACGGCCCTGGGGCTGACCCTCTTCAAAAATTTTGGGATATTCCGTATGGTTAAAACGTGCATTCGAACCGGTCGTGAGGCCCGTTTCGGAAGGTCCATATTTTGGTATGTTTTGCTACTTCAAGTGTCTCTCTTGTGCATTTCAAGGTTAATATACTTCTAATTGCAGCTAAATTCTTGTTTAAAGAAGATGGTAAGAATGGATTCGATACCTAGCGTCCATTAGCGCCTGACAACTATGTAGTGCACCAAAGAGCACGAATTTCTAGGTGCCATTTGACGCCGCACTTAGTCAGCACAGGTTAGTTACCGTTGAAAAATTTAAAGGGAACGGCAAGACATTTCTTTCGATTTCCATGATATCGATCCCCTGTGGATTTTGCCCTTGCCGCGCGCTGTGCGCGCTGATTTAGCAATCCTTCATGCCTTTCACCGCGCGTCTCTCCGATTCCTTATATTGCTTTCGTTTTGGCCACCTGCGCGAACACCTGTATTTCAGGGGTTCCAACCCATCCCCTTCTTTTTGGGAAAAAAACAAGCTTTGCCCATCCCTTTAAGGGCCTATAGAGCGACATAAAAGCGCTATCGGAGGATTGCGAACTGCCAAATCGAGCTGGGACCGTTAAGGTAATCATTCCAACATTGTTTTCGCTTTCCAAAGCTGTTAATGGCTTTAAAAATAAAAATCCGTGGTTAGATCGAATCCAAAAGCTTTTAGTATATCATGTTGTTGCTGTCCATTCTATAGATTGTTGGGTTGTTTGGGTTATGTGGCCCCAAAAGCCCTGCCCTGTGCTCATGCCTAAAAGCCGTGTTTAGGATGGATGTGGAAGGGGGGGGGGGAGGAAGAGGTTTGGGAAAGGACTCTAGAGAGACGGGTCTCCCCCTCTAGCCAATCGATTTCGGGGCCGTTCCGCTCTCGGGTCGTCGAAATTGGGCCCTCTGCTGGGCCTCTTTCTCATTTTCATCATCCCTGTCTGGGGTCTCTTGCTCTTACGTGCTCTCTCGTCGAGACCAGTCTAGAAGCTTCCCACGACTCACGCAGCGAGGAACACATCCCTGGGAATGTTTACCTGGATTATGTGCCTGGATCTTATTTAGAAATTTTAATTTTGTCTAAATATTCTTTTTCAGATATTAAAACACAATTATGCAAAAATTAAATCAGAATTGCCAAGAATGGCGAATTTCTGCATTTTCAAAACTTGTTCAAGTTCTTTTTATCTCAAAAATAGTAATTCAAAGGTTACGTTTGATATTTTCATGATGAATCAAATTCTTAATTTTTAAATTTATAGTAGGCAAGACTTTCAATCTACTTTTACTGTAATTTTTCGGCGTTTCACGCTAAATATATTAAAAATTTCCCTCTTATCGTCGTACAAAGGGGGAATTTTTGCATTTTGCAGTGCTGTGAAAATGCCTTCCGAACGCTGACATTTATTAATTGAACCTTCGAAGCAATTTCGATGCAAACTACTTTCAAAAATATTGTATTTGATCAAAATTCGAAAATGTTGCAGACTCGCTAATTTCTAGATTTTAACGAAATCGATTAATTTAGACTTTTCAACTATTTGTTTACAATTTTCTAACCAAAAATAGATATTTTATAATCCGCTCCAATTTTTGTTATTCGTTTTAACATTTTGACGGCGCTCGAGATTGCCTCGGTTGGTCTTCATCCGAAGCCTCCACAGCCCCGGCTTCAAAAAATCCATTAGCCAGGGCAGCCCCGGGATGGGGCTGGGCGCGTTGTTGACAGGATGAGATTCTAGGGATTTCCGGAGCATTCCGAGGTGTATATCTATTTCGACACATTAACGAGTGGAATGAGAGCGGGGATTGGGGTTGAATACTTGATGAAGGGCAGGGGCGGCCTAGAGATCTGTAAACAACCCTTGGGAAAGAGCAGTACTATGTCACTAAACTCGGATATGTTTACAGCTTTTGAAGAAATGTGGCGTTTCATATCGTAATTGGTTAAAGCTGTCAATAAGCCAAAATGAGGTAAAGCGTCAGTTTTAATTGGACAGATAGATGCCGCTTCTCATTTGGCAACTAGCTAAAGCTGCGATTTCCCGAAGACTCTTGATAGCGGTCTCCTAGGTGTAGCAGCGATTAGTTTCTTATTATTTATGCAAATTTCTGATTTCTACAACCCGGGATTGTCTTGGTTGTGACCTTATCTCGGTGCAGGGTTAAACCGTGTGTCGGGCCACCTACCGCTACGACTCGGTCACTAGTACTACTGCCCTAATACCCACAACGCCATTTCTCAGCGACTTGAAAAAAAACTTAACTTTTGGTAGAATCAAAAATGTGACAAAATGCTTCGCTTCGGTACGTTTGTCACGGAATTCGAGCCGTCCAATTTTTTTCTGCGGATCGCTCGCATTTAAATGCCGGCTGAAAAGATGAAGCAGTAATGAGGCTTCCCACCTTATTTCCATAAAAAACCACGAATTTTCGATGTTTTCGAATAATACGAATTTTTATTTGCCTTAGGAACCCGGTACGATTACCGTATCGTCTGGGACCCGACAAAAATTGGCTTTTCTCGCGCAAGAAGCGACTTGATTTTAAAGTGAGCAATATTCACGAGATATCGTTCTTATTGGTCTGGCCGTTTTTCGATCATTTTTACATGTCGCCATCCAGCAAATGTAGAGCTCGTCAGATTCAATAGCTGTATTGCCATAGCTTACGTATTGCATCAGACACCTCCCACTCAAAAATTTCCAATTCAAACACCCAGCCGGAGTCACTTTCCCAGCTAGTCAGGGATTTTCGCAACATTACGCAACCCCCGGCCCAAAGTGCCATCTGGGACGGGGCAAAGGGCAGAGTGCATTTACCTCACCGCACCCCGAAAAAGCATGCGGAGGACGATAGACCCCAAAAAGTGGGAGTAATAGACGGGAGGAAAGCCCAAATTGGGCAGACAGTAGTTTTTGGGGGTGTGCGAGTGCTGGCCATTCCATTCCCATTCATCGTCATGGCGGTGTGTGTCTGTTCAGCGATCCGCGCCTTCCATAACACATTCCAAAAACCACCCACCCCCAAACATGCGCCTGGCGCGTATTGATTTTCAAAGCATTTATAACGCTTTTCAGTAATTTTTCAATTTTCATTTTTTGGTATTTAAGTTCTTGGTTCTCATAGATGCGCGTCAAGCCGCCGAAACGGTCTTTTTTGCCGATTTTTTGAGCGTTTTTGGGAATTTTCCGACTTTTTCAAGATTAGCTGTTTAGTTTTGTGTCTTTCATGAGGTACAAACCAAGCTTTTGTATGGATTTCCAAAGCTTATAGACGTATTACGCATCTTCAGCAATTTTGTGGCATTTGTTAGCGCATTTTTTTTGAGATGACAGAGCCCTTCGACAGTTTTTCGATGTTTTTGGCGATTTGCACGATTTTTCGAAAATCTTAAGGAATTTCCGGAGACTTTTTGCATGGTGCAACGCGTTTTTTCGCATATTCCATTAGCTTCAGCCTATTTCATGCTCTCCTCCCATTCCCATGCCCTTTGGGTGCCACCGACGGCCCGGATGACCTTATGAATAATTAGCACGAGCATCTGGGAATGATGAGTAGCTAATGGGAATGGGGGGAATAGCTAAACAGGTTCCGTGTCGTCAAAATGGGGTTTGGGTAAGGGCTTCTGGCCTTACTGTGCATTTGACGCTTGTTTTTAAGGTAATCTAGGGCAGAACATCCTATCCGAAAAGCGAAATTTCATAATTACACGAATTTTGATTTTGCTCCATTACCGGGGTGATACCTTTAAAAACTTCCTCATACCAACGGGAAATCGGTTAGAAATATGGTGTCTCCTACCGGTTTCATATCAGTTATCAAATTCGCCCGAAAATTCTAGCAATCTATAGTGAGAATATTTCTAAAATCGCTAGAAAATCGCTTATCGGCCATTACGGCTTTCCCGCAAACAATAAACAATTCCCCATCATTTTCGGGGGGTGCTTAGGGCGATAGAATCGATGCGTGGGCGGAGTGTTGGGGTGTGAAATGATTGATTACGATTGTGTCCCCAACGGGAGGCGCGTTTTGTGACATCAAGACGGAAAAGTTGGGTTTTGTCGTCAGGTGAGCAGCTGACCAGCTGACCGAGCGCCTGATTTTGACGTGAAGCTTCTAGCATTCTGTAAGTTATAGCTATTCTTCTACGGAAACTACGCTACGCTACGCATCCCTTAGAGGAAGCTGTGTAAACGTGCGTAAATTTGTGCAGCTGTACAAAATACATCCACTATTAATGGTCGATCCCGCCTTTTTGAATTTTATCAGCTCCCTTCCGCTTCGGATATTAATATACCTTTAATAATACTCAGCCATATTGTAGTCTGTTGTTTTTCGCTATACTATTAATCGGCCGCAAGGGACTTATAAACCCTGCCGGAACCTAGGTTATTAGGTGACTAATCCGGCAGCCAATCCGGCGACCGGAAAGGAGTCCCACATTTCTTTAGTTCGGGCTTTCCTGTTGACCCGGAACATCCTCATTTCTTCTTCGTCTACTAGGAAAATAAAAAATGGGCTTCAATAAGTCGATCTGTCTGGCGTTCGACAGTTTGTTTCTTTTCCTACCGAGTTCCGGAGCGTTTCGGCTCCCGGAACTTGGCATCCACTTTTTTCGAATTTTCAGACTTTATGGAGGTTTGTATCATCAATGTGTATTTTTTTCAGGAGTTGGGGAGCTATACAGCTAAACGCAACCCGTTTGGTTATGAAAAAACGTCGCCAGCGCGCCAGCGACCGCCAAGAGAAAGGCGAGTTAATTTCTAGCTTTTTAGGTACACTAATTTAATAAAGTTAAGCAGTAAAAAATAACGCAATCTAAAATCTATACTTTAATTCCTTAAACAGTTATGTAAGATAGAAATACAAATTCAGACTGGTTTGACGTTTACAAAGATTTTACGACTAGATTTCCCATATTTACTTACTTTTTTGTTTTGGCCCTCCACCAGCGTTGACCACATATCCCATATTTGATGGGGCTACGTGCGGCCGGAAATGGAGGGGGGAGACCAGGCAAAAACAAATAGAGTGAAGCCATCCCAACCAAGGAATTCTTTTTGCAAAAAAATGGGCAGGACCCCTCAATCCAGCGCTCCGCCGGTCTGGCTAGCCACACACAAATTTATGGCGCTTTTCCGGGGCGCTCCAATAGATAAAGCGAATCGAAAAACTGAGATGACGGGGAATCGAAGAGTGATGGTTCGATCATCCGAATGCTTTTTTGGAGGTTGGGGTGATATGGAGATTGTGTGAAAATGATGGATCCGGATAGGAAACCTCGACGATTGAAGATTTCGCAGGAAATGAAGTTTTTTAGGTTATTCAATCCCCAGGGAATTATCAACAAGTTTTTATAACTTAAAAGCTTGCAAACTCAATTATTACAAGTTTGAGGCGTTTTTCAATTTGAAAAGCAAGGAAATTAAATTTGAAGTAATTAAAGTATCAAAATAACGATTTCGGTATATCCGAAATAGTTAAATAACTTTAAAAACGGCTTTAATGACACTTCCTTGACTAAAACAAATATCTGAACCCCGAAAAAGTGGCAAACGGGAAACGCATGCAAAAGAACGAAAAGGTGGTGTCAAATTACTAGCGGAAAAGTGACGACGGGTCGTTCACGAGGGTAAGGACTTGACCGCGTCTCAATTTTCCCAAACCCGCTACGACGATGTTTAGCTTCAGATGGAGAACGCCGCAATAATAAACAACAGAAGAGTGAGCGGAGTTAAGAAGACTCGGTTCACCACCGACGGCGATGTGAAGGACTGGGTCGACAATAAGAAGGTATGGACGGAAATTAATTTGATTTTTTCAAACCGAAACTTTTCAAAAGCTTCGCTAGCGAATAAAAAAGTTTCCTAAACGTTTTGCTAGTTCACTCGGATTCCTAAAGGAACTTTGCTTGTTGCCTAGCCCTGCTTCCTTAAAAGGAAAGTAAAAAAGGAAAAGGGGAAATCAAAAAAATAAATCGAAATTTTGTATGAGGAAGGTTTATTTTAGCATTTTGAAACGTCGAAAACGTATGGAACTACAAGAATACCTCTTAAACGTTGTTTATTGAACCCCGAGAAGCTCTGAAATGGCCTTGCAGGGACATTCCTCCACCTTGAAATGAGAAAATGGAACGCTTACTTACGCAAATTTTTACAGATCTACCGACCAGAAGATGGCTTTGACGAGCGACAAGCTTTGGTGCAATATGATGGACCGGCAGATGACGGTAATTCATAACAACCAGTTCTAAAATACGCGGTTTCAGTCGAAGCCGCATCGACCTCGACATCATCCAGCGATTGTCAGCCGCTAGCCCTGGATGGAGGGTTTGGATGGGGTGAGTTTTCCAGCTCTAAACGACCCGATAATACTGTAAAAAGCGCCTAGTTTATTCTTACGTAGAAGGTGTATATGTGGAAACAACAAAGAAATTTGAAAATTTTAGTCATCGTGCTGATCTCATTCTTCATCCATTTCATTTGCGATGGGCTGAGCTTCTCGTTTGGAATGATTTATCCGGCGATGCAAGAGGTAAGAAGCCTGAATGTCCCTTCCACTATCTTTCAAATCTTTATACCAATCAAAATTAATTATACCAATCACATTTTTAGACCTTCGACTCGGCTCGTCTTGGCGCCTCTGTAGTTGCTTCCTTCTACCTAGCAATTCCACTTCTTGGAGGACCCATCGCTGGAACGTTAACTGACATTTATGATTGCCGGTAAGCTTCAGAAAGCTATTGTCATTAAACCTGTAATTTTAGAGCTACTACCATTCTGGGCGGTCTCCTCGCCGGTGGCGGCACAATAATAGCATGGGCCGGCCCGAACAACATCTGGTTTTTTGGCTTTTTCTTTGGGATTGTTACTGGTAAGATTAAATCGCGTCGCTTATCGCCTGGTTCAGGAATGGGTCTATGTTTTTGTTACAACTCTGGAATCGTCATCGTTACGTACTACTTTGAGAAGCATCGCGGGTTGGCTACAGCCTTAGCGGTTAGTGGATCTGGGGCTGGGACGCTGGTGTTTCCATGGATTATTGAAAAGGTGAATTACTTGCTCTCTCTCTCTCTCTCTCTCTCTCTTTCTCTCGCTCTCTCCCGCTTTTACGAGCTCTCTGAAGCTTACGGTATTTTTGGAAATTTTCAGGTCCTCGCCCACTACGACTTCTGGTGGGCCATCCTCCTCTACGGTATCACCTTTCTGTTCCTCGTGCTCCTCGGAATTTGGATGCGCGATGTCGAGTGGCCGAACGAGACCACGGAGTACAAACGGAACAAATTTTTACGGAAACTCGACAAGATGAAGGAGGACCGGGAGAGCGTTTGGAATGCCGATCTCGCTGGGTTCAATACTTTGCTACCGGTGAGATACCTCAAAGTTGCTAATTTTTGATGTCCCAATTTGAAACACGTAGACGCGGATTCAAACCAATTTTCCTAGGTCCGAGAAGCTGTCCAGGAACGGCCAAGACTCTCAAGAAGTATGCCGGTGATTCCGGTGTATGCTGATGAATTCTTACAGAAGATCGAACCATCAAATTCTATCCAGGTAGGTGGTACTTTATTACACGTGTACTTCCTCGCGTACGCCGTCAGATCTTAAATTTAACGTATCATACCTAGCTGTTATGTATTAAGATGAACTATAGCTATTTTAGTCCATCCGCCAAGCGGTCCTCAACCTCCAGGACAACGTCACCCGATCCAAATCTTTCGGGCTATTCCGGAATCCAGTCCCCAAACTGGACCTTCCCCCGCTTCCAGAAGATGAGATTTTGACGGCAAAGCTTGATCATCTCGATCTGCAGGTAATTTTCGTCCTTATCATGAGATACCAGATTTTCTTCAGACCTCAACCTCTCCCTACAATACCATAACGTCCAAGAGCAGAACCCGAATGTACTCTAATCATAGCATGTCGATGGATGCGCTCGATCAGATGGAGATACATATGGGGTAAGAGGAAAGCGACATTAGTTATAGCTTCGTAATAATTGTTGAGAAAATAAGGTTACCTGATAATTTGACATTTCAGTGCAATGACAGAACTTGGACCATCATCTGGCTCGAGCAGCGATTCAGCTTTGTCGAATGACGGCGATTCTTCGAGTTCAGAGTTGTCGGATCACATTTTGACGAAGCAGGTGGGTGGTAGAAATCAGCGAGAGAGAGAGAGAGAGAGAGAGAGAGAGAGAGAGAGAGCGGGAATGCCAGAAGTAATATAGGGATCAAAACGGACTTTTAGTCGAGCCAACCCCGTGAACTTTCCATTGTACAACCCTCGAACGCTCCCGCAAAAATTGTCAACGTCGATAGCGGAATTGTGATGAAATGGGACCGACAAGGCGCAGGTATCATATCGTTTTTCGAAATTCGTTATCGGATTATCAAATTCTTTTTTATTTCCAAATTCAGGAATGCCGGGCCAATTGAACCAGACGGCGCGCGGCATTCGTACCTCGATGGTGGCCCATTCTCGTGTCCCAGCTAGTAATGCTACTGGTTTAAGGTATGTGCTAAAAGCTTCAGGCTTCAGGACGGCTTTTGTTTAGGTATATGGCACTCCGAGATTCATTTCGTGGTCTGCGCTCCAAGGTCCCGTCGGCTCCAACGCTTTTTGTGAAAAAGAAGAAGAAGAAGACGCTGAAGGATGTGTTGCACTTGAAACAGGTAAGAAGCCCTCTAACAAGCCCCTGCTGATTTGAATTTCCTACTCAGTATTATTAAGGTTAAAATAGCTAGAAATCGCTTAAAAGTTTTGGGAAACGGTACCGGTGTGAGCGGGAAAAAATGCGCACGTGTAGCCTCAGATGTCGCGTTTTGAGCTTAGCAGCCCCACGTAATTGGCTTCAATATCCAGAAATACCGACAAAACTTCCATTTATTTATCGCTTTAGATGAAAAACACGATCACCGACACGGCCAAGGAGTACTGGCGCCTCGCCAGAGATTGGCGCTTCTCAGCCTACCTCTTCTCCATTTTTCTCCTCTACATGTTTTACGATATTCCATACGTCAACTTCCCCGAGTTTGTTGATGAACATCTTGGCGTACCATTGAGTCAGGTATGAAAGATTTTCCTCCAGATAAAAAGGAAATTCTAGGCTTCAAGCCTTGTCGCCGGTATCGGAGGGTTCAACCTGATTTCAATGTTTTTCTGCGGCTTTTTGAGCGATCGGGGATGGATTAAGGAGGTGAGTAATTCTTAGCAGTTACATCTATGAAATTGATTATATCATAGAGAGTTACTTGAAAATACAATATTATTTAGCATCTATTCCTTGTTTACGGTGTGATGATTTCGTTGTGCGGTGTGTGCCTTCTACTGTCGACGATCGCTCAGGATTACAGATTTATGCTGGTAAGAGAGCGGGAGAGGGAGAACGAGAGTGTGGGCGAGAGAGAGAGCGACAGAGAGAGTGTCGGAGAGAGCAACAGTGACAGAGAGTGAGAAAGGGCTAGAACTAAACCCGATACATCCTTTTCAGGCCATTTCTTGGCTATACGGCTTCTTCATCGCTTCTAACTACGTACTCGGCTCGGTGTTGCTCTGTGAGCTGATGTTCGTCTCGGATTTCCAGAATGGATACGGATTCTTGTCGATGACCCAGGGTATCGGGAATCTCATTGGACCGGCGTTAGTTGGTACGTTTTCAAATTGGTGGAACCCAAATGGGCGTTTTCATGAAAATCGGATATGAACCAGCAATTACAATCATGCTTTTTAAATAACTTAATGTTCTTAAAAGACTTTAAATCAATGATGTTCTAAAAAGGCTTTATGGAAAATAACATTTAATTTAACATTTTCAGGTTGGGTTCGCGATGCTACCAACAGCTACCAAGTGATGTTCATCGTCGGTGCGGTCGGGATGATAATTTCTGGGATCATCTGCATTGGAATCCACGTCTCCTGGGAGGACGAGGATGAGGAGACGGAAAATAGGTCAGTTACTCCTTAAAATTGATTAAAATGAAACCGTTATTGCATGTAATGAGCGAGCTAGAAACTCTACTGAGCGACGGCAATTTAATTCTTGAGCTAGAAAAGCAACAAGACGCCATTTAAAACCCATTTTTCAATTACGCTGATGCTCCATACTTTCCAAAAAGAAATTTCAAAAAGATAAAAGAGAAATAAATAAATACTAGAAAATTTACAAGGGTTTTTTAGTCGTAAACCTTCGAAGAAACTCTCCAACTCCAATGTCCACAACGCTGAGGAAGGCAAGCTCGAAGCAACACCGAGGAATGGAATTCTATTGAGCCCATAAAAGCCTTGTAAGATACTTTGATAGCCATGTGATAACACCTTGTTCTTCATTCTAGGATTTTCCCATGGGTACCCGACCGTGGCTTTATTAAAGTGCATTTTAAATTGTGTTTTATTGTGATTGGCCCTTTTTGCATGGCTTTTACAGACATATTTTCGAATTTCCCTTTTGATTGGTGATCCGCTTCGATAAGGACTGGTGAACAAAAGAAACGAGTGTTTTTAGCATTTTCTTGAGCGTATTAAACTTTGATTTTTCGATTCTCCTAGACGAGTGCATTCCTGAGATACGTACAACCTTTTTGTATTTGCCTTTAGTTAATAAATGGTCAAAAAAATCTGCGCATGAAAGCTGGGATCCAGACCAAACACCAAACAAGAATAAACCTCGCAAAAGCCAACCTGAACAATAGATATGGTCTTTTGTAGGCGTTTGGCTTGAAAGCGAGCATTCATGGTGGATCAACAGCGCTGCATTGCAGAATTCACATAATCGCAAAATTCTCATCGCTGGGAAACATGGCAATTGCAAATGGAGTAGTAAAACCAGAGATACGAGACCTGGATCTGAGAGCAGCAATAAGCGATGCAAACGTGTTATTATCCGATTATATTCTTCATATTGTTTGTGCCAAACTTAGATGGAGCTTGCGTAAAGGGGTTGGTTTTACAAGTGGCGGTGTAGCGATGTCGTATTTTCGTTTTGAAGCAAGGCTAACGCACTAGATTGCATGATAGGGCGCAACATCCCTAACCCCTGCGTTCGCGCCAAGATAAAACTTGTGACACAACCACAGCATTACTGAAATTTGGGGTTTTTTGTTCAGACCAACGACTGTGACATCCTCTAGCGACGTGATGCCGAGTACCGGCACTTCGGCTAAAGGTTATTTTATTGCGTAATCCGAAAGGCGAACCATTACAGGCCAGGTAAAATGGCATCTCCCAGTATTCTGAAAATCAGATATCGCTACAACGGTTGTACGCAATTTAGGATGCTCATTGTGCACTCAGAGCATGCTCAATGAAACACGCCGCTGGGACGGCTCACACCCTTTCGATAATGGTATGGATTTCTGCATCCCATTCAACCTTTTAGGGGACAACAGCTAAACAATTTTTTAGCTACCCTTGTAATGGTGGATGCCTGCGCAACGTTTTATTTGGTCTGCACAAGTTCAAATAAGTACGAGCCACCATTGTCGTAAGATGCAAACCTTCTATATAATAATAGCCAGGAACGAAGAATTATGGACAGATTTTTCGGCAAGGATTAATTGATTTAGTTTGATACAATCAGGCCCGTACGGGAGCCGAGATTTCGGGGGGGGGGGCACCCACCCAAAAATTTTTTGGCGACCTCCCCCCCGGTCGTCACTTTCAAAACATTCGAAAATAGCGACAATAACCGCGCCGCAGGCGAAAAAATTTAGAAAACCGCGTTTGTAACGCTTAAATTCGTGTGAAAACACATCGGAAACGGCGCGCGCAAGCGAAATTTTGTTCAGCAAAGATGGTGCACTAATGAAAACTAGCGCCGCAGGCAAAAATTTTTAGAAAAATAGGTTTTCTAGAAGTAAAAATCGTTTCGAAACAGTGACAAACAGCGCCGCAGGCAGAAACATTTTTGCGAAAAAAATCATAAGGGTCCCCCCTTATGAACTTTTCGGACCTCGACCGATTTCGGGGGGGGCACCGTGCCCCCGGTGCCCCCCCCCTCGTACGGGCCTGGATACAATGATCGCTACCGTACCAATAGACGGCAAGACGGCGATTATCAGCTTGCAAAGTTCGGATGATGGCATGTTCTGGAAATACACTGAGAACGGCGGGGCTACCTATGTCACCCAGTACTCCTGCACTGATCTAGGACCCAAATAAAATATTTTACACAGTCCGGCAATGACAGAGATCGCCAAAGTCTAATCGGAAATGCCTAGCAACGATGAAAAAGGATTCCGTAGGAAGGATAAATGAATAAGAAAAGGATCGAGTCCCCGTCGCTTGAGTTGTGGATTCGAGTTGTGGATTCCATCCGTCTGACTGCCCCCTTTTAAGATAAAATAATCATTATTTTATGCGCGGTTATTAGGTCAAGACGCTGTTGACTTTCAGATGTCATAGGGCATAGATTGTACTGAGCATAGGTGCTTGTAGTTTTTGTTGACTTCAACGCGCGCCACGTTGCAGCACAGTTGCTTCTTCTTTTCACACTCTGCACCCAGTGCGGCATTGTCGATCGTGAACGTATTTACAGGAAATCCACGCTGAAAATCGTATATATAGGACTCTTGCGGGACCTCGTCCACCCCCACCTGTGTGGATTCTGTGTGTGATATTCCCCCCCCCCTTCCCTAGGTCATAGATTCGTTTCAGTCAATTGCATGGCTCTTGTCATCTCTATTGTTTCATGTGATCAATAAATGTTATGTTATGTTATGCTAAGATTGTTTTCGCTCTCATCACCGCTTGCCGCACAACGCTTCCCGTACCTTAATGCGCCAGATGAGGTCCGCATCTGTCTCGTCCTTGTAAGCAAATTTGAAAGCTATTCCACACCGATCCTGCAATAATGTAATGATATAAGATGTACATCTGAACTCTCTAAATTCTCGAAAAAACCTCTCTACTTACCCGTTTGTATGCTTCGCGGAGGTTGCGTGAAGGTTTGCAATGCTCTCCCTCTCCCCTCCATTGGCATCGGAGGTGCACGCAGTTAGAAGAATCCACGAATACCATGAAGGCAGAAGAAAGAGAACCAGTAAGAAGCAACAGGAACGCCACACGCACCATCGCCCACACTGATCTGTCGGTCTATCCGAATCTAGGCGGGAGCACAAACCTTTCCCTTCCTCCAATTGACCTTCTTTCTCTCTCTCTCTCTCTCTCTCTCTCTCTCTCTCTCTCTCTCTCTCTCTCTCTCTCTCTCTCTCTCTCTCCCTTAAGGCATTCTCTCTCTCAAGGCCGAAGAAGAGCGATGGATTGTGTTGATAGGAGAAAACAGAGCGATAGTCTGATTGCATACTTGATAAGAGATGAGGGAGTATATTCCTTGAAGGAGAATACCCCAGATGCGTATTCGTTGCCTTCCGGCGGTTCACAATTGGCGCGGAAATCGCCAATGGCATGATTTTGGGTACAGCAATGTGATAAATACTAATAATGCACTGTAAACTGTATTAAAATTATCCAAAAGGCGCGCACCTGGAAAATCCATCGATGAGACAGAAAACACGAAAAAAAAATATTTGATTTCTGCGAACCGAGAACATAAATCTTGACGCCCATCTCGCCTGCGCTTTGCAATTTCCTTGCGTCTCGAATAAATTCTATTTTTTGCTGCAAAATCTGATTTCATACTATGGATGAGGAGAATCCACCTGATAAAAAAATGATCAGCTGAACTGGACCCGAACGAGAATTTTGTGCGGATACGTATCGCCACGTATGTCTGCCGTTCTTTTGCGCAAGATATTGGTGGCTGTGTCGGGTCGTTTTTCTATTATGGCAATTATTGCCCCGGTTATCTAATAAATTTGTCCTTTCGGCCATTCGTTGCATTCCCTATTACACATAATTCAATCCACAATACCAGTTCAGTTATTGCGGCCCGGTCGATATGCTGGAAGAGGATGTTTTCAATTCGGGATGGTTTCGGCCAAACTCACGTTTTCCAGAAGGGTAATTTTTACATTTAGCTTACACAAATTCCGAAGCCTCAACATGTTGTTTTGAGTTCCTTGAAATTCATTTTCTCGAAATTTCCTCATGTCGAAACTTCATTCATGTTTAAGTCGAATCAAGTTGCGACAAAGTGAGTTGCGGCGAAAAGAAGTTTCGACAAAATTTGTTTCGTATTCTGATGGCAAATCGCCTAAAAGTAATATCAATTCGGCATCAGTTTTTCAGCTTCGACGATGAGCAAACACCCGACAAAGAGCACTTGAACGCCGGTGCCTTTGGAGATGTCTACAAACTGAATCGCTATATCCCGTAAAAGACCGTAATGATTTGAAATCTGTTTAGCCCCATCGTTGTCAAGGAGCTGAAAAGGACCGATGAGGATGAGTATTTTAACGAGTTGAGCACGCTGAAGAAACTGGCTCACGATCACATTGTGGATTATATCGACGAACCCGACGACTACGTCAATGATGCGCCCGGGAAACTTTTGATCTTCATGGAATTTTGCGAGTACGGATCAATTGAAGAACGTGGGTTTTCTAGGAGTCGTACTTAAGGCTACAAAGAAAAGTGTGAGAGTAATATGTTATCACGGAACAAACGTTTTTCAGATTAACCGTAACTTCTTTAGTTTTGGTGAAGCCGCAGCTCTTATATTCTGTTTCGACTATTGCAACGTGGGCACGACAACTTTTTCAAGCATTGATTTACTTGAAAAACCAAAATATCGTGCATTGTGATATAAAGCCCGCCAAGTAAGTCTCGATTCATCCAATTAAAAGTTTATTGAGTGCATAAGCGTATGAGAATAACAATAGCAGACAAGACCTTAATAAGGCAAAAATTTACAGTCTTCTGATTGTTGACGGATTTACGCTGAAGGTTGGCGATCTCGGCATCAATCGCCAGGTCAACGGTGCGCCTCAATACCGCGCAACACCGGCATATCTCGCACCGGAGTGTGGCGGTGATGGCGAAATAAGCGAAGAGGTCTTCGAAATCTGTCGGAAAAACTTACACCAGCCTCTAGGACCAGTTCAAACGCGATGTATATGCTGCCGGGATCGTCATCTGGCAGCTCACCAAACGAAGGTGAGGCCACGCTTTCAGGAAGCAGAAAGAACACAACACTTTGCTTAGCCATTATCCACGGAATGATTTTCTCCAACTGACAGTGCTGGTCGATGGCACACCAGAATCTAGGCTCGTGTTGGCGGCTGGCAGGTGGGCAATACGTGCTTCAATTACAAAAGTCATATTTTTTATAGTTGCTTACACAGCAAGCCCGAAAATAGGCCCGACGCAGTTGTGATGCTCCGTATCTTCAACGCGATGTTGGGCTTTGTCGAAGAATCTGGCACTTTGGAACAGGTAATCAAATCATCAGGGTACACGAATATTTCTTTCAGACACTCCAGAAATTTGACTTCAAAGTCGAGCCGGAATGGCGGAGCGGGAACACGAAAATACTTTATAAAGTGATCGGCCTCGATGGAGACCCGATGGCCCTGGAATATCCGATGAATTCCCAGGTTCTACAAGCTCATACCAGCTCTGAGGCGAAGAATAGTTGGGCAGAGTTCTATGAGCATCCAGGAGCGACTGAGTACACAAAGCCAGTTGCAATACAAGAAACATCCGAGGCAATCATCAAACAGCACAAAATGGTCCAAAGCTGTCCAAAGTTTTCGGCCTGGTTCGACAAAATCGAAGTCACTTCGGTCTTTAACGACGTTATTTTTATGTATCCCGGAATGTCGCATGAAAGAGGCTACCTGGGAGTTCAAACGTTGTTTACGTGGTTACAGCTTCACCAAGTTGAGAATCAGCACGTAAAGCTGTTCTGTCAAGGGGCCGATTTCTATGCCAACAATCTGGGAATGTGGCGCCAAGAGCTCGCACAAGAATTTAAAGCCGAGACGGGCGCTTTGAACGATGAAGAAAAGTTAACGGCTTTCGAAGGGTACGAACGAAAGATCGAGCTCTTTGAAACGCGGCTCAAAGCGGATTGCGAAAGAATCGCTGGTGCGCCGATGGTCGAATGGAAAGAGGAGTTAGATATTTTTGACCGACTCCTGATGGTCGACCATCTAATCATTGCGGGTTGTATCGCGTTCGCTATCCGATTAATGGACAACGCCAACATCAATCTTTTCTCGCCGGTTGAATGGAAGTGGCTGTTGCAGGTATATTCCATCTTATTTTGATTTCAGGATAAAATAATATAGGTATAAAATTTAAGAAGTCCGTTCTTTTCCATAGCTTATTTTGGCTTCAGTGCAGTTTACCCCGCCCCCCCCCCCCTCAGCCAACCCCGGACTACCGTATCTCGGCTTCCTGATCATCTACAGGTGTGTAAAGTATACGAAAATACTCGCAAGAGCAATACGAACATTTTGATATACCCTACACATCTGTATATGAACTGGGAGCCGAGATACAAAAGTTCTTTGCCGGCAAGGCGGGGGGTAAACTGCACTCTAACCCTTACTTTTAGATCGCAAAAAGGAATGTCGAAGAGATGGCAAAGTTTCCAGCCCGGCGCCCGTATTTCGATCTAGTAAGGTTGCGAGCCTTTCGCGATCAATGGATCTTAATCAATGGCTACCTCGTTCGACGTGATTTGGGAGAGATCCGAAAAATGGACTCGAGCGAACAGGTGGATAGTCTGCACGCCACGGCTTGTCTCGACTGGGAGGCGCTACGTAGAGCGCTACGCGACCGGATTCGAACGGCCGATCGAGACCGAGAGCAAGAGAAGCTGTTAGCGAGAAAGGCCCCAGATGATTGGGTCAGCACTGTACTGACACCTCAAATGATTCACCAATTCCTGATGGAGGAACCAATCCCCGGGTACTTTTTCGCCAGTCGGATCCCGCCCGCACCAAGGTAATTTCTGGTCCGTGCACTTATCCTTTTCAGACGTACCTCTGAGTCGTTTGCCTATCCCACAGAACAGCAGAAGCTTTACATACAAAGTCATACTCTCTATGAACAAGCTCTACGTTGCCTTTCCAACTATGAACGACATCAGAATATGCCCGAGCTACGCCTCCTAGCCACCACCATATTGCTTCGGGCAGCCGAGATGGGCGATGATCTCTATCCGTATTTCTATTTTCGACTCGGTTTAACAACGCTGACGGGCGAAGATCGGATCGACATTATTTTTATGCCAAAAGTTGGGGTTTTTGGTAAGCATTAGTAAAATTTTAAACTAGTTTTCTATAGACCGCATTGAGCGAATTGACGAAGAGATGTACCATCACGAAGCTCAACTTTCCAAAGCCACCGGTTCTCTTGGTAACTTTTGTGGTTTCTTATATTTGTAAATAACCCGCAAGGATTAGTCGCGATAACTTATAGGTGTTTTTAGACTACGCTTCCTCCCGGTATACATTGACGAAAATCACCTTCAAGTCGTTGGAACCGATGTTGCGCGTGTTTGCGGACGGTGTGGGTTGTTTAGGTAATTTTCCTGCTTTTGGAGGATCTGACGAGTTTTCGAAACCGATCCGGCTTCACGCGACTCTAGCCGCAGCCAGCAGAAAAGCTGGCGGAGGCTGCTGACCGAATTTTGGGGAAGGCAAGAAATCTTCGAAGAGGTCGAGGAGCAGAAGTGCTTCAAAGTGCTGCTGGAGAATGATGTGCATTTGAAGCTACCTTACCGATGGGATGTAATCCGGACGATACCTTTTGAATAAAGCCGCATTTTCTCTGTGCGAAGCTTTGATTCGCATTTATCCATCCGATGTTCACAAGTATCGGCAAATTTTATTCCCAGTTACGTTTATTAATTACATTTACAATTTGTTCTTCATTTGATTGACGTCTCGCAACGCCTTCTCAATGATCGGGGTGTACACCTGAAAAAAGCGGGATTGTCATTCTATTCGAGTCTTATCGCTAACCTCGGCAGCCGCCCGCTGGCCCCAGATAAAGTCAAGGTGGTTGAAATCCTTGTAGTAGTTGTTCTCGATCAGATACTGTAAAGTAAACAAGTTCAAGAAGTAAGGACGGCACTAGCGATGCACTCAAAGTATTATTACTTACTTTGGGGTTATAATTAGGCAGGAGATGCTCCTGGATGTCCTGCTTGTCTCCGAGCCAGTCCGAGTCGGACCAGTAAAGGTAGGTGGGGACGGCAATCTTGGAGACATCATAGATTGGGGGTGTGGTCTGAAAAAAATCAATGGCTTCAAATTCAACTTTAAGATCATTAATATCGAAAGGTATCTTGCACCCACCTGGCCATAGTGTTGCTTATTCGCCGCCTCACTGCCCCAGTCGTACATCTGCTGGAGTCCGGTGTGCACCATCTGCACCCAGTGGAGAATGTTCTCCGTGGAGGTGCCGCCGGGCATATCGGAGATGTACACGGGGAGACGGGTCTAAAAATACAACGCATTTTTGAGTATGCAGTAATTCTGATGAGAAGCGTTTAAAAACTATAAAAAGCATTACCGTGTTCATCTGGTTACTCTCAGGCCCTCCGATCATGAAAAGCAGATTTCCGCACAGCAGCTTCTCGGTGAGGTCGTTGCTGCAGAAGAGCTTTTCTATCAGGCGCATCAGACCGTCCTGGGGGAGGAAGGGGCCGTCGCCGAAGATTTTCTCAAAGATCTGAAGGCGTAGGTAGCCTCAACAGAATTTAAATAGACTTACATCAAGCTCCGGGGCAAAGTTCTTGGCGATGAACTCGAGCAATCCCTTGATGTGCTTGACGGTTCCGACCGGAGCCAGGGCGTGGAATTGGCGGACCTGGAGGTGCGGGTTTGAGAGAAAATCCAAGCAAAGTCGGTCGTAGCTTCTGAACTAGCGCCCACCTTGGTCTGGAAGTCCAAGTTAACAGCCAAATGGCTGAACATGATCAGCGTTCCCTGGGAGTGTCCAACGTAGTAGAGGTGGTCTTGTCCGGTGGTGTTGAGCGCGTGGTTGATCATCGTCGGCAGATCGTACTTGACCATCTCGTCCCACCTGAAAAGCTTTAGCTCAACTTTCAAAATCATGGGAGTCATGGGATTGCTTTCCGGAAAGCTCTAAAACTCACGAGAATCGCCAGAAGGCCTTCGACTTGGGGTCGAGGGTCTTGTGTCCGATGGAGTACTCATCTCCACGGACATTTCCCATCCACACATCAAAGCCAGCATCGGCAGCCATGAAGCCTGAAAGACTGTGGTATTACTCAGCAACTTGCGAACACCGACAACTTCAAATCGAAAACGACGCCAAGCTGTTCAGTGGTAGCCAAATACGGAACAAAACTCGAATGCGACGTACCCATCGCCAACGACGGCAAATTGGTGATCCAGTTTGAGGATGAGGCCTCGAGTCCATGCTGCAGGAACATGACGGGGCGGGTCTTGCCGTCGTCTTGGTCTTAAGGCTTTTAGTCACAGGGTTATGGTAGCGTTCTCACTCTTTCCATGCCGAATCCGGTGCATCGTGAGCATGTACCCGTCATCGGTGTAGACCTGGATCGTCTCACACGGGTACCCCCAGTGCGCAATGATCTCGGGCTGAAAAGTGAAGTCCTAGAAGGTGCGTTTCCGGCTGACCTCTACAATTTGCTGAGGAGCCCTATTTCATGAGCCATGACACCGTTTAACATGATTCGGGCGAAAATTTGCAGCTTCCGATTTCTGTCACAAACAGAAGGGAAAAAAGTCTAGGTTTGCGTAACACTACCAAGGCGGTAAGTTGGAGATTGGGTTAAAACATCTGAAAACGACTAGTCTCTTTGAAAATAAGGTTGCTGAGTCAATTCTGAAACCGGGTTCGGAATCAGGGTAAAATTCTGCCGAATTCTGGCTTTGTTCCGCCGCAAATCCCCTTCTTAAGTAACGACAGTTTAGTGGAAATGGGCCAAGTTCTAATTCGAGAATTTACTCGTTCTATGTGCTAGGTAAAGCTGCAAGACCAAGTCGCTTTAGCAGTCTCAGACTCACCGCCTTCATGTTGGCCTCCGGGTCACCGGCCATGGCCAGCGCCACCAAAGCCGAGGCGGCTGCGAAATAACCAAGCATCCTGAAAAAGGGCTTTGTTCAAAGTTCTAAAACACTGGCATAGGCTCATGAATTTTTGCATAAAGCACACTCAAAAAATTCGACAATACGGTAAACAGCGCAAAGACCGGAACGGTAATTTCTGGCAGCTGCCGTCAAGCCCAGGATGCGCTATCGGCTTCTGCCGGCTTCGGAGGCAGTTTTTTCAGGGGCGGCCCTCTTATCTGCGATGTGACGACCACATGGCACCCTGAATTCCGGGGTTGATCCGGGTGATTTATTGCTGGAAATTTCGAGGGGTCGTAGGCACGAAGTACCAAAGAACGGAATCAAAACTAATTGACGCGGCTCGTGGCTGCAAAAAATGTTTACAGCCGGGGATTTCGAGACGTTCAGCAGCTTCGAAAAGCAAAAATTGTTAGTAACATGCCTAGAAGAGTCAAAGAAGCAGGATAACTGCCATGAGATGGAACATCAGAAGAGACTCCAGAATCTGGAATCTGGAGTCCAAGTCACAATTTTCCAATTTCGAATTATAAATTTTTTTGATGACTTTCTAGCGAACTAAAACTACTAAAACATTATGAAGATACACCATATATAGAGGGGTTTTTTCATCCAAACCGTGTAGCAATTCACGGTTTTTATGCAGCACATTTGCATGAAACAAAAAAAATAAATATGGTAATTGAATCTCCTATTCGTTCGCACCTGACCGGCAAAGTATAGATATTCCAATCATATTAATTCTCTCGCGATGGGCTACCGCGTCTACCTGACGACGCTCCTCTGGGTGCTGATGTTCGTCGTCGCCGCCTATGCGTTCAAGGAGGAGAACACCGCAAAGAAGGTCCGTTGCAAAGGTTTTGGGCTAAAGTTTAAGACCCGCAGCTGCCTTATCATCTTTTCTACTTTAATGATTTTGTACTCCAGAATCTCAGAAAAATCCCACGCTTCTTGCTTTTCCAGGACGACGCTGCAGATTTGGTGTTCGTGCTCACCGTCATCATAGGATTTTGTAGGGTTTTTGAAGCCTTTGGATGCCGCCTGGCTTCGATTCATACCACCGCCTATCTGTTCCAGGTTGCACCACCGGTCTGCCCATTTGCATCGTCATTGGCCTCATCATCGTGTGCGTCGTGAAGTGGGTAGTTTTGGGATTCGTTGGTCCAAGCATGGTTCTTTCGCTTTTCCGCTTAGAAAATGATTACTTTCCAGGAAGAAGGACGGTGGCAACAGGTATCCGGCTGCAGCGGCGGCTCCAACGGCTCCATCCCCCGGCCCGTAATCCCATTAACGAATTACGCTATTTCATTTGCTCAATAAATGTCGTATTCTTGTTTTGATATGTGCACCATGGTTTTACGCATCTTTCATGAGATTGCATAAGAAGTGGCCTAACTGGGTCCGCTCAATCATCGATGCACGTTAATTACACCCCGATGGCCAGGATGCAGGAGATGCTGGTGTTTTAGCATATCTTGATGGTCCCGTTTTTTTCTGGAAAAATATCTTCCGTTAAATGCCTATTCAACCGTGACGACTTCGAAGCGATAAGTATTCATTTCGTATTCAATTCAAGATGTTGACGGATATGCAACGAACAGCTGAACCGTAGCATAACGTTGGCCCTGCAATGGTAGTAGCAAACACGATACCTACCCGTATTTGCATGCGGTGCCTCCGAGCCCGATTTATGGCAACCCCGAAAGAAGAGTCGGTATTGAAGCGAAATTCATGGGCGAATTTACGGGTATTTAGCCGTTTTGCGTCTTGTCAATTATAACCAGGCGACGGAGTAGGACGTCTGGGCGTAACTTGGCCATCAGGAAAGCACTGACAGTAACCGGTTTCGAACTTGAAACGACGGCATCTAGACCGAGTGGTGCCTAGAATCCGATGATACGGGATTTTCGAACACAGCAACCTGACATGCTTTTGCGACGCGCATACAGGGTGTCTTAAGAAAACCGACCCCTCTCTAGCCGTCCGGATATCGTCTGCGGCATGCCATGTCTGAATTAGATTAGCGTTACTCGCCGTTTAGGTGTATTTCTTTCGATTGTATCGTGCATCATTCTCCAACCGAAATATATAATTTCTTTATCAGTGGGTGAACATGATAATAAAAACTTTGCCACATTCTCGATCGGGGGGTACAGTGAATGGAAAATGACAAACGTGAAACAAATGAGATAAAAATAGGTGGATCTCCAGGGTCCATTGGGATATTCTACGAGATGCCTATTCTTCAATGACAAGGTCGGTAAGCCGAGTAAATACCTTAAATTTCGATACTTTTCAGCTTACCAACCCTATCAAAAATCGTCAAAATACTTGAATAATACCCGCTTGAGCAAAGCCACGTTTGCACTGTTATATATAGAAATTTCGCATTATCAAGGAGACAAAAAAATGCAAAAATTGGGGGCGAAACATCGATTAAACAAGCACACTGGAGAAATGATATTTTGAGATTGAAAAAAGATTTTTGACTAGAAATTTTTGGGTTAAATTTAACGCAAAAATTGATAATGGCTAAAACGTGGCAGAATTTCAGAAGAAATACGGAATTTTTAGAATCCAAAAATTCAAAAATAGCTTGGGGCAGTGAAGAGGCGGGATGTAAAAATGTCGATTATTTTTCATGAAAGATTCGTAATTTTCATAAAATAATAAAAATAGTAATACGGTAACCGAAAATATTGCTAGCAGACAATCAGGCAGACGGCGCGTGAGGGAGGAGATATATTAGAATATTAACAATATATTATATACGAAATTTAATTTTGAAAGACTGGTTGCCGGAAGGAGTTTGAGAAGGTCAGAAATACTGAAAAATTTCCCTAAAAACTGGAGAAGTCGCAAAAATTGGCATAGATGTGGGAGGGTGACCTGCAGGGAGGGGGCATCCTGTAGTAGGGGCACAATATGGGGGTGTACAGGGGCGTACAGTAACGGAATTGGACGAGGACCCGAGGCAGCGATCGCACCGAGAATCGAGGGAACATTTGGGGGAAATTGAGAACGAAGGGGTCAGGCGGGGGAAATTTGCATATTTTGAGCCGCTTCGAGGAGGTGATGTGGTGGGAACGGATACGGTATATTAGGGCGGATAGAGCGGAATTTAGGGTACGGTAGATGGGTCAGAATTTAACAAAGAAAAAAAAACGCTATAAGGGCTAAAAATAATTTTTAAATTTTTAAGAATACAGAAATTTTTTTAATAAATTTGGTAGCAATTTTCGGATCCATTTTCCGCACCGCGCTTCCGCTGACCCATTTAATCAGGCTAAAAAGACGAATATCCGCTAGACGAAGGTGAAATATCCATCCGATTTCCGCCGCTTCTTCCCCTCGTCGGGTTCGAGCCGTCGAATTGGGGCTTCCCCCTGAAAAGATGAAGATGAGAACGTTGAAGTTAGTGAGAAAATGCGGGAAAACGTGCGGTTGGTTAAAGGGACTGGGAAGCGAGGAATCCACCTTTCTATCGAATAGGTCTCGACGGCTAGGGGACGCTCCAAAATACGCGCGCGCGTACTGATATGGTTTAAAGGGACTGGCAAGGCATGACTATGGACCTTGTTGACAGCCTTGTCGGTGCCTTTAAAAACTCTATTAACAGCGACTGGCCGTGTACCTTGGAGCGTCACGTAAATCTTAAAACCCAGTCACAGGTAGGGGTAGATTCTCCGACGTCCTAGTCCTTTTAAACTCTCAAAACGACATTCAAAATTTGTCTTTATTTGTACACTGTTATCCCGCATTTTCTCATCGTGTATAAAAATTTCTGAAACTCAAGGCGTTGTTCAGTGTCCTGTTCTAAATAGATCTGCATACGGATTAAACTAATAGTATTTTGAACGTATATGGTGTTGGTGTGAAAAACGAATGGCCAAGGCGGATATTGAGGAAAATTAGGGGGTATGCAAAACAAATCTCGGGGGTATCGTTTTAATGTCAAGCCAGCACCTTAGACGTTCGTGGAATATTTCCGCTGGCCGGCTTGTCTAGAAAAATTGCAAAAATGTTTTTAGCAACGAAAAACATGGTTTAAAATTTTCGTACAAACTTAAAAAATTAAAACAGAAATTTTTGACCGTTTAAGTAGCATTTTAAGTTTTTTAAATAATACTTAAAAACTCAATAAAAAGCGTTTAAGCCCGGGAAATTTTCCAACTCTTGTTAATACAATTTTTCGGGGGCCATACATTCAGAGCTCAGAAAAACGAGTCGCGTTGGCCTCCCTGGAGTACCGAATCGAAAAGGTGGCCGCCGCCTTTCGAGTTTTGCATTGCTTGCTGCCTGTATTTTCATGTTATAGTAATTTAATGGGCTCCTTAAGGTATATTAAAAATTAATGGCCTACCTGGCCTGGCCGAGAAGCCACGTCTTGAAGTTGGCATCAAGCTTGCTCGGGGATTGACTGACCCCGCCCTCGAACATCTCGATTGGACTCTGCAATGGGAGGGAGACGATTATTGGGGCCCAACAGGTGGGAGCCGCTCCGGAAAAATCAACGAAATGACTACGGTTACCTAGCCATAGTGATTTGGGGGGAGTATTTTGGCGTTGGGATAGTTTTAGAGCTAACATTTTATTGTGGCTTTATGGTTTCGATACCTTTAGAACGGTACCCACTTTTGAGAAAACGAGCTCAAAGGTATAGGCAAGGCATGGCTAGGGACTTTGTTGGCTATGAATTTTCTTGGATGTTCAGCCAGACTGCGATGCGCAACGCCTCTACCGTCCTTTCATTGCGTAATGGAATCCGATTCCAGTATTTCATTACGTAATGGATTACACGCGACGTTAGCCGAATTGCGTGCGCGATGCGTGTCGCGCCCATGGAAATCCATGGCACACAATCAATAGTCTTGCCATTCACGCCACTTTAAGACCAAATTTTAACGATCGCACTTGATCAGTAAGTTCAGAGGAGTGCAACGTAGTCGAACTTTGACAACGCGACGCCCCAATGTACGTGCCAACCCAAAGGGTTCCTTGCCTTCCACTTTTCTGCTTTTTTGCATATTATCCTTTCTCCTCAACGCCAATGATACTCCCCTACAAATCAGGGTCCTAGACGAGGTCACGAGGACTACTAGACTGACACGAGAACAAAAGCTTTACGCACTGCTCGCTGAAGGCAAACGGGGGAAAACGAGTTTTTTCTTATAACGAGCCGGGAACTCATTGAAAAGTTAAAACTAATGAAATGAAGTAATTATAATAGTATTCTCGTGAAAAACGTGTAAAAAAGCAAAAATACGACTGAAGCCGTCGAAAAATCTCTTTTCCAAATTCCGAATTCGTCAAAAATCAATAATAATTTTCCGTTTCTAGGACTTGAGTTAGTAGCGAATTAAATAGCTTCCAATCTGGAAAAACCAATTTTCTTGTTTTAGAACAAGAGTATTTGAATCAATTTAATGAAGTAGACGAAGAAATTTGTATATCTTCAAGTCCTCATCACCTCATCCATCTACAAAAATACTCAAAAATAATAAATAAATTCACTATATCAATAGAAGAAAAATCGGCTCCCGGGGGTCGTGGACGGTGTTAGAGAAGCGTTAGTGCCAAGAAGTTCTCACGAGGGTAATTTTTTCACAATTTTTAGTTAATCCTTCGAAAACAGATGCAAAATTTCTGTCGTTCGTAACGTTGCGGCGCGCTTCAGGAACACCGTAAGTTCATGGCGTAATCGGTTGTTTCAGGATAGCCATTCTGACAGGGCAGCCCGGCAAATATGAAAATGCAAATTTGGAAATTTCCGAAGTAAAAAAATTGCGATTTTTCAGCGAGTTGGGATGTCCTTGAAGCGCATGCACCACGTTTTGCGACAGGCTTGAAATATTTTGGAATTTTTGAAACGGCGAAAAAGCACGAAATTCACGATGGTTTTCTACTGACACTATCACCAGCAAAGTTTTGTGTGGCGGGTCGGCAGGGTTGGCAGGAAAGCCGAAAGATCGGTTGGACAAAATTCAGAAGCTTACAAGACTAAGTCTAAAATAATAAAATTGACAACAATAATAAATAATTAAATTTGATTATTCACTTAATTCTGCGCCTAAATATTTTTAAAAAGTTAGTTTAAATTTAGGAAAGATAAAATTTGTGCATGGTTTTTGCAAAGTTTATTTTTAATTTACCTGACCTAGATAGACGAAATGCTTTCTTTTTACGTTGTCAAACCAAAAAATGCGGAGAAAAATGATTAATCATGAATTTTGAGAGTAAAATCACAAAAATTAAGTTCGAAAGAAACAAGAATAAAAATTAGGAATTAGGAATGAAATAAAATGGATGTGTTCATGTTATTTTAACATCTAAATGATTTCTAGAATAATCATAGTTTTCTTGGCTTTGATCTATAAGATCAATAAGAATACACTACCAATAGAAAATCTATAGGTGAAAATTTTTAGTATACCTATCAGCTATCTACTTTATTAAATAACAGAAAGATTTAAAATACTTAGAAGATTTTGCAAGTGCCAACCCCAGCCGTCCCGAGCCATTAATGCTGTGGGAGGTCTGTATCCACGACTCTGTGGTGGCTGGGACAGAATGTGCTTCGTGAAGGACTGTACCGACTTTTCGCACTCGATCGTTGAAATTGTGCCACAATGCAACGATCAGCTCGGTGGCCATGATGTCACCGGCATGCGCCGAGATCATCCGCATGCAGAACACCTGCAAACGAGGTTAGAATATGGTTTTTTTAGAAGACCTTGGACTTATTTAAGTTAGCTGGTTCAACACTTCGTTTTTAAAGGGGTTTTGGTTTCAAATTGCGTCAGAATTCATTCTTAAAGGCACCATGAAACCCCAGAATCGACCCTACTGTCGCCTAGGTGTCGACAGCTGCGACATGCGCCAAAACACGGCCAAACACGGTTCCAGCGGGAAAGCAATACGATCTCTAGAGGTTAATCCGGTACGCCCGTCATTTGGCTTGCCGCGTAGCTGTAGATACCTAGCCGACACAAGCGAGGACCTTTTATCGGTCTTGACTTTCTGGGGTCCTGGCAATAAAAACCCCGAAAAATCTTTATAATTCTTATTAGAACTGGATTTCCAAAATTTTTAGATTCATTCTTGGTTTCCTACCTTAAATATTTGGTTTCGAAAGATATTTAGCCGTAAAAATGTGTAATTCTAACTTTTTCAGGTAGTTATTTATTTTTTTGAAGAAAGAATTCAAAAGTGGTAAAGTCTCTATTAAAGTCGTTTTCCTTACCCCGTCAAAGCCGAGGAACTTGTGCACGAATTTCTTGACCGACTGCCGATCCGTCGCCAGGTCGGTCGCCCTGAGGTATTTCCGGATGAACTTCATGTGCTGAAAAATCGAGGTGATGCTCAGAAATTCAGATGGCGACGCGAAGGTCGAATTCCGTACCTGTCCAGGCAGAAATGAAATCAACATCCAGTGGAACATTGATGACACTGACACGATGGAGACCATGAAGTACCAGAACCTGAATTAAAAAAAGGATTATTGCGACCTTGTAAAATGACAATTTTGGAGCGGTGCGGTCGCGTTTCGTGTGCGACACGATTGCGCCAAGACTGCTTCGCGTGTGCGCCACTGGCGCGTCACGTGTGAAAAAGCCACGCACGCAACCGATCGACCGCACCCGCCATATGTTTTCGAATTCTTCACCCACCACAAGAACAAGAAAATCTTCTCGTTGAACATGTTGATCATCAGCACGCACTGGACGGTGTGATGGTGCACGTTCCCAAGCACTCGTACCTGGAAAAATACCGCGTTTATGAATTACGATGTAAGGTCTAACCTCAAAATCACACATGGTGACCCGGGGGAAGTTGCCGCTGACTTCCCACTCTCGCCCGTTCAACAGGTCCTTGAGAATGTGGAAGCCATAGAACAGGTTGTCCGTCCCGAGGAAGTTGTTCAGGATGAACACCTGGAAATTGAGATGTAGATTGGGTAATTTAGGCAAATTCCAAAGGTAGAGCCGTATTAACAATCCTAAGCCAGTCCTATGTAAAGCCTATGCTCAAGCCTAAGCCTAGCCTAAGCTAAGCCTAAGCTAAGCCTAAGCTAAGCGTTATTAATGTTTATACAAACCTGTAATATGACATTCCCCAAATAGAGCATCTTGATGAACACGTATAAACACGTCACGTAGTTGCCCCATCTTTTTGAGACACACAACCCGGAGACGTCTGTTACCTGAAAACATTTGATATAAATTTCCGTAGAATTTTAGTTATTAAAGGGGGTTGGGGAATGCCAAAATCAACCCCTTTCATCGACTTGGTCTCGACAAAGCTTTCTATAGACGTTTTTGAGATGATATTGCACCCAAAATGAGTGCTATTGAATGGCGTTTTGGCGTATTACGTAACTGTCTAGACCTAGCCGCCCAAAGGGGTCGATTTTTAGGCTATATTGTCTTTTTCAAACCTGCGGACGCACTTCTCTTTGTATTTCTAACGCATCCTCCATATGCCCGGCTATCGTCTGTACAGTGGCGGCTCGCGCGTCCGCGTCCATCATCCGCGCGTCGCACGCCATTTGGGTGAGGCTTTGCACGTTGATACCTGGAAAAGCAATCGGTGACTAACCTTCATCTTGATTTACATAGCGTAATTTACACCTCTGTAATTTTTCCAGCTTTTTCATTTCATCAAATATTTCATCAATAAGACATGCGCTATTCCGTACCGACTCCGAACCCCGACCCCAACTTTTTGAGCACGAGGATGACTCCCAAACCCTCTGCCATCCCGGGCTGTTGCCCAATTTCTGGGGTATTCATCCTTGCGCATCTCCGCCCCGGGACTACACCGCTTCCGACCCCCGGACCACCCACAATCCCAAATGTGGGGGAGTTGTTCGTAATGCTCAAGGGTTGGAGGGTAACTTTCGACGGGAAACGGGATAGGTTCTGATTGAAAAAATGAGGAAGTCTAAATTTGTAAATTTTTGAAATCAGGTAATTTAGTAGAGTAAGTCACGATAAATTAAGGCAAAAAGTCGGATTTTTCGAAAAGGCAAGCTAGTGGAGAAAATTGAAAAAAATTGGCTGGTCTCTTGAGATAATAGGGAAAGCTATCGAAATCTGCTATTTTTAGAATTTTCGGAGTTCTGGAAGTTACGTAAAAGTGCGAATTTTCGTAAGGGCAGTGGTGGCCTTTGCGGAGTCAACGGAGATTAACTTCCGATTTTTAGCCACATGTTGTGGTAAGAAAAACAGTCCCTTTGATTCTCCAATTGATTACCTTAACAACGCCCCTTACACATCTCGAGTTGTCGTCACCCATCTGCTCGCCAATTTGTCTCACCCTTCCCCTACGCATCCGAAACAAGATGCCTCGGCGGCCCGCTATTTTTTGCCCGATCCAGCATCCTGCCAACTACGGTAATGGCCAATGGGGGACAAGGAATAGGAGACTGGCCCCGTGTGGGGAGGGGGATCCGAGGCAACTTGAGGAGTGCGAGGTAATTTGCGCCTTTGCGGCTAATTGGAGAGCTCGGAGGAGGGGAGGAGGGAGTGGATAGGGACACTCCGAAAGAAGAGCTGTAAATATTCATGAGGCCCTAATAGCTTCACAGGCTGAGGAGAAGGGGCTTTAGCCAAGGAGGAGGAGATCGACTCGCTCAAGTACGGATGGATCTGGAGCAGTATCGGGACGGATTTAAGGGGGTTAAGAAGTGCCATAGTCGCCCCTTAAGACACTAGGTCGAGACAGCTACGCGCCAAGCCAACAAACGCCAATGGGATCAGATTTTTTAGGGATAAAAGTAAGCTGCAAGACCAGAATCGACGCGCGTTTTGGTGTTTTTGTGTGACTCCCTAGTCGATTATAAAATTCTTTGTTCTGTTTAAAGGGGCTGTGAAGCGCCAAAATCGACTCCCCGAGCAAACTAGGTGTAGACAATCATGCGAAACGCGGAAACACGACGACAAGCGCGTTGAAAAGTTCTATACAAGACAAGTCTGAGCCAAATTCAGGCCTATTTGGCGTGGCTAGTAGTTGTCTAGCTCTAGTTTGCTCAGTTCCTTGCTTCCTAGTTCCTTTAAAGTCAGTGAGAACTAACAAAGTATCGATCGTTTTTATCGTAAGAAATTTTATGACTCAAAATTACACGGTATCTTTTGAAAATACGCAATGTTCCGAGCCAAATTCCTCACCAGAATGCCAGTGTAACAACCCTCGCCACATAATGCAGGGTATGTAGAAACATAACGCCTCCAACGCGAGCACGAACGGCACCCATTGGTAGTAGCTGATTTGTCGTGCTCTGAAAGGTATCGCATGATATTAGAAAAGTCAAGTTAAGGCCAAATCCACTGAATTAATTCCAATACGCTACGCCCATGACCCTTACCTCCGATCTCCATATTCCAATGGAAATGCGCTGGTGAGGGGCAGATAGTATGTGTTCTCGACCCAGCAGTAGTTTTCCGTGTACTGCTCCCAGGCGTCGGTGAACTGGGCGGGCACCCAGCACTGGATGGGGTAGCCTGAAAAATATGGAATTTGTATAATTTAGTGCAAGATAGTGCTTCACATATGTTAGCGCTTTGAAAATTATCTAAAATTTGTTTTTAATGAGCGTTTTTGGCACTGCAAAATGTCATTTTTCTGTTTCTAATCGCTTTTCGGATGAATTTTTCGGGCGTTTTTTTGAATGTACTGGTAATTTGCATATTGCGGTGGTTAAAAATAATCAAAATAACTTTTACTAATTTTTTTGCGCCTAAAAAGACGATTTTTCCGTTTCTTTCGGCCCTCAGACAACTTTTTAATAGCTTTTTTGTTATTCTCTCATCGGCCGGGGAAAATATAATAAAATTATGGGGAGACTCACCGACATACTGCTTTGCCGAGACGATGATGGCAAAGGCGAATATGATGGCCGACGTGTAGTGATAATTGAGTTTGTCAACGAAATCATCGTCGACTCGAGGGTGCAGACCCTGAAAGCATTCGCATGAAAAAGGAATAGGGGCGTGGAAAACACAGCTAGAAAAATCTAAAAAAAATCTACTATTTATTCCGTCATAAAAATTGCCGACGTGAAATTACAGTATCTAATTAGCACGTCAATTTTTAAAATCGCGGAAAGATCAAAGAATACAGTATAATACAGAATTTTATGTAATTTAAGGTTTTATGGCCAAAACTAGCAAAGGCAGATTTACGAAAAGAACGTAGCAAATTTAAATTCGATCGACCTTCGAATTAAAAATCATAGCAAAATATATATTTTCCTTAAATTTAAGCATACTTAAGTTACTGTCGGTTTTTAAAACTTAATTAGTTTAGTTATAAATTTTGTTGCACTACGGTGAAAAGACAATAACGATAAACGTCGCTCCTGCTTACCTTGAAGATAGCCGCAAGGTAGTAGAGAAGCATACCCGCGCCGAGGACCTAAATATAAGAAAATGTTATATAAAATACATCGTTATATCAAATCCAAGAGGGTGCTTCGTTGGAGCGAAACCGAATAATTCAATAACTCCCGGGTGAGTTTTCCTGGCTGCTAGCTAAGGAGAAGAAGTTATGAATAAATATATTCATCATCTCACACTCGCTCGCTAGCGGGTTATTCCGACACGGCAACACGCTGATGAGACGGGGTGAAAAACGCTGGTAAATCCGGGGATTTTTAGTATTTTTTCAAGGATTTTTAGATAGAAGATTTCATTCTCAAAAAAACGCCAGAATTAGTATATTGATTAATTATTAAATTTGAAATTCCATTCCGTTTTAGAGTTTTTGGTGTTTTGGTAAAACCCTTACTCGTTGGTTCTCGCGCATGGAACGGGGTTAGCTGAAAAATTTTAGGGATATTTTGTTTGAAGGATTTTATGATTTTTTTGCATATTTTTTTGGTTTTATTGACGCTGGTATTTTAACCTTACTTTCGATGAAAAATGATTTTTAGCGCGAAAAATGTTTATCACTATTTACAGCAATAATGGTTAAAGATTATAAATATACAAAAATTCATAAGCTAAAAACGATCAGTAAACACAGAGAAAGATAATTAAAAAATATCTGTGATTTTTATTCTAAAAAAACGCCATTCCGATCGCATCAGGCCCTATCCCAAATTTTCAGTAGGGTGCCAAATCCCCCAGGGGAATTTGGTGTTGGGCCAGATGTGGTGTCGGAAAGTGTTTCCTGATTAGAGGGGCAAGCCAAGTCTAGAGGAGCTCTAGATGGACGGAGGATTGAGCAGGAAGAGCCGGAAAAGCCGGGGATTCCGGAGTGGAGTTGGGCAAAAAGAAGAAGCCAAGTCTAGAGGGCGAGTCGCCAAACCCAGGGCCACAGATAGAATCCGATTTGGGGGGAGGCTATGGGGGGGATCCGGATGGGGAGCATCTCAGAATCTGAGGGCCGTTGACAAGAAGAGTGTCTATTAGGGGACCTCGGGGCCAAGGGGTGGGACTTGGCGACCACGACGACGACAAACCGGAGGAAAACTGGGGATTTAGCTAGGGAGAGTGCTGACTAACTTGGGGATGTAGCATGAGCGACTCGTTTTTTTGGTCTTAGGAAAACGCAAACTCGGCAGCTAAAATTTCGACAACTAAAGTGACCACAGTAACCCCGACAGCTAAATTACCGACAGACCAAAATCGCTGTGGAAAGAATTGACTTGAAAACTGGCTTCAAAAATAATTCGGGGTTTTGCTGTCGAGGTTATGGGTCTCGGTATTTCAGCTGTCGGGATTATACTGAAATTCGACCACCCTAAATGGTGCCAACAGGTTTAGGTATGGACGAGGCATCCTATTAAATGGAAAATCTTAATTTGGAAACTCTGAAAATCATAGGGAGAGCTAGAAACGGATTTTCGATACTTTATGCTTTACGCAAAGAAATTTGCCGACCCGGATAACGACTACACAAGTAATTTTCAAGTATTAAAATTGCGGTGAACGGTATGGACAAGGAGGAAAACGATGCCTAATTCACATCCCAGACTGAAGTTGCATGCCTTAAAAAATGCACCTCCCGTTAAGACCGAAAGTTTCAGTACAAAACGGCTTTTAAAAGCTACGGCGGCCTTAAATCGGTGGATTTTTACTTTGCTACTCCATTCAATGCTCCAGTTAGAGTAATGGACCGGATCTTGCTTACCCGACGCCAGCGAAAAATAACTTAAAACGAATGTTTATGCACTAATGAGACAATGCGATCATTAAAGGATCCTACCATTAAAGCTCAGTTAAACTACAAAACACGGCCTTTAGGCTTGCTAAGATGTTGGCCCACTGGATCAAAAAGTAATAAAATATATCCACTACCCCCCGGAAACCCGAATTTCTATGCGACCCCAGTCGAGCCGTGAAACCTAGATATTGGCGTTAAGAGGAGCGTGTAGAAAACCCGGGGTCCGACGGGGGTTCTCATCGTCTATGTATGGGCTTCTCGGCGGTTGGGCCCTAAGACCTTAGGGCCCAGCCACAGGAGAGACACACACGGCAAGGCGAAGAGTCTCAATTGCCGTGTTTAGCTGCCCCCACGCAACGAGAAGCGGGCATTAAAGGGACCGGGAAGGTGGGGGGACGGGAAAAGAGTATTGGAAATGTGGAGAGTCAAAGGAGAAGGTAACAGATTGGCCCAATTATCCATCCCCATCCCGCCAGGGGCCTCTAGGGCTAAAAGAAAAAACGGGACACCTCCTTTCGGGTGGGCCGCTGCGGGCAGAAGGAAAATGACTCCGATTCCGGAGGGTCCTAAAGGGAAGAAGCCGCTAGGTGGGAGGAGAAGCTTTACGGAAGTGTTTTTTTGGGTTTAAAGGGACTGTGAAGGTAAATTTTCGAGAATTCTAAAAACGCCGAGAGAATAGTTCCTTCTAAATAATAAAGAGAAATAGGCGATTTTCCAAGGTAGCGAAATGATAGTTTTTAGAATTTACTTATATTATAATTTTCTATCGAAATTATAGTTTACATTATTCCAATAAATAATGGTGGTTTCGACTTTAATTTAATATGTTTAACTATGTATGCTCCAATCAACAAATTTTAATCATGAAAACGATTTTTTTGGATTTTCTTCGTGTTTTGATTTTTCAAAGTTTCCGTTTTTGTATTTTAATATATGAAATCCATTGCAGTGTTTTTTATTTTTTGAAAAATACGATACCTGCTGGTCCTTGTTGAGGTAGGACTTGGAGAACTTATGGTCGTGCGGCCCTGCGGAGCTCGGGAACACGGGATAGCGAGATACGTGGTTCAGCCGCTCGCATTTCTTGAGGTTTGTGTGCTAAAAAAATCAAAAATTACAGTGGGAATAGATTTTTTAAGGCATAAACAGAAAACCAAAAATTAAAACAAAAACCAAAAATCAGAGAGCAAACATTCAAGAAATTACCTTCGTCCCGATCAAAAAATCGAACAGAAAAAAGCAAGAAAATTAGAAAAAGTAGATTTTAATCAAATCCAAAATTTCAGACATTTTAAAGACTTAATTTCAGCTTAAAAACATGTAGAAAAAAGAATACTTGCTAAAAAATGGCCACTAACGATCCACAAAACTCTCGGTTTTGGCGGTGGGCCTGAAACGGCCTTTTAAACCGGATGTATCACGAGGTTTCGCGGCGGGACCCAATAGCGCAGAATTCGGTTGAAGGCAAAGATGGCTAATAAAACAATCTACAAGAAAGTTGTAACTTTCTAAGCTCAGGCTTCAATAGAAGCAAGTCGGACCGAGAGTGAGGTGGAAGAGTTCGCGGAGCCTGAGGAGATTCCAAAGAAGTACGGCGAACAAGTCCGGCGGCCCAAAATTTGATTGTGCGTCTCTCAAAAGCCGGGCGACCCCTTTCCATTCCACGGCCCATCCGATACTGAACGGGGAGGAGGCCGAGAAGAAGAAGTAGAAGGAGTAAGAGGTGGAGAAGGAGATGCAGAAGAAAAGAAGTGGATGGATGGGTCTCCGCGCGTTCCGCCTATAGGTGTGACTGTACTATCCTTGTGGGGTTCACAATCTTAGTCCCTTTAAAGCCACGCATCCGGGGGAGCGGATACGTGGCTTTAAAAGGACTAAGAAGCGCTGGAATCTATGCCCTGTAATCAGCTGGGTGCCGGCAAGTACGAAAGACATCAAATGACACCTGTATTCCAAATTTTTCGAAGCCTGTGCAATTACCGGAGGCGGCAAGAACTGCGAAAATCCGCAAGTTTTGAAGGTATTATTGCGTATTTACCATGTGTATCTACTCTTGTCGCAAACAGGGGTTTATTCTGGCAACTTCTAGGCCTAACGCGGCGGAAAATCGACCCGAACCATCGACTAGGTCTTGACAGCTGCCTGACGCGTCAAACAAGATCATATGCTAATTTTTCGCCTGTCTTCAAATACGATTAAAAGCGTATTTCGGCGTCTTGGCTAGCTATCGACACCTGGCTAATGGAAAGGGTCGATTCCATCGCTTGATAGTCCCTTTAAATCGGGTGGAAAAGCTGGAGCGCGTCCTAACGAAACGTATGGAAGGGAGAGAGAGATAGAGAGAGAGAAAGAGCGAGAGAGCGAGAGGGAGTGAGAGAGAGAGGGAAAGAGATTGAGAAAGATATGAAGAATGAGAGAGAGAGAGAGAGAGAGAGAGAAAGAGAGAGAGAAGGCTTTAAAGTGAAAGTGAGAAAAAGCAGAACAAGGTCAGAAACTCCTTAAGACTGCCATTCAGTACAATACGCACCATACAACACCACGACCTCTGCTTCCGACCTACCATAGAGCGAACAACATGACGACCGACGGGGACAGGCATCAGGGCGAGACTTTTCCGAATAATCCAACATTTGTCATCCAATCGGCATCTTCTGATGTGGCTACAGGGTGTCTTCAAAGCTTCAGGATGGAAAAGTCTCGCCCGGATGGGGTCCCGTCGGCTGTGCATATTGCCGGGAATTGGCCAAACTAGAGGCCCCTCAACTCGGCATTCTCATTTCTTCACGCCTTTCTGGCGAGTGGGGGCAGATGAGGCAAATTATACGGTGGATTGACATGGGCACTTTCACGATTCTACTGCATGTCGGGCGGCTCAGTGAAAGAATAGCGATAAAAATGAAGAGACGAAGTTGATGGATACTTGTCATTTTATTTGAACGTTTTTTTCAAGTGTTTAAAATAAAATTCTTTTAACCTTTGAGGTTCTAGCGTTCCGCTTCCATGGACGGCATCGGGCCCACTTTTAAATTTTTCGAAGCAACAGCATACAGCTGTTTTTCATTTCAAAAGTGCCTTAAAAATGTCTTCGGAATTTGGGACCATTTTACGTGACGTTACTATTGACGGAAACGGACGGATATTATTCAAAATCAAAACTACAGCTAGGTGGAGGTGGAGCTAATGGTGGGGGGGGGGGCGAGTACCAAACTTAACATTTTTTAGATCAGCAAAAT